GGTTGAAGAGTTACAGAGCGGACACAATTTCGTTTGACGCCCGCCCGCCCATCCGCCCATCCGCCCGCCATACCCCAATCTAATAACCAGGATTTTCAAAATTGAAAACCTGGTTAACTTTGACTACCAAATCAAGTTAAAATCATGTAAACAGGATTTTCAATGTTAATGTCACTGTGACCTTGACCTTGGAGCCAGCCATGCGGAACATGCGTTCTGCACGTCATCTTGATGTGGTAAACATTTGTCTGAAGTTTCATCAAAATTCTTCAAAGGGTTGAAGAGTTACAGAGCGGACAGGATTTTCAATGTTAATGTCACTGTGACCTTGACCTTGGAGCCAGCCATGCGGAACATGCGTTCTGCACGTCATCTTGATGTGGTAAACATTTGTCTGAAGTTTCATCAAAATTCTTCAAAGGGTTGAAGAGTTACAGAGCGGACAGGATTTTCAATGTTAATGTCACTGTGACCTTGACCTTGGAGCCAGCCATGCGGAACATGCGTTCTGCACGTCATCTTGATGTGGTAAACATTTGTCTGAAGTTTCATCAAAATTCTTCAAAGGGTTGAAGAGTTACAGAGCGGACACAATTTCGTTTGACGCCCGCCCGCCCATCCGCCCGCCATACCCCAATCTAATAACCAGGATTTTCAAAATTGAAAACCTGGTTAAAAACAGCTGGAGTTTAGATATTAAGCATGAAACATCTTCTAGTGAGTGTCTACAAAGTTTGTTCAAATAAAAGCCCTGGGGTCAAAATTGGCCCCGCCCCGGGGGTCATTGATTCTCCTTATATGACAGTGTATAGCAAAAACTTAAAAATCTTCTTTGAAAAAACCCAGATAGCTAGAGTTTAGATATTAAGCATGAAACATCTTCTAGTGAGTGTCTACAAAGTTTGTTGAATTAAAACCCCTAAGGTCAAAATTGGCCCCGCCCCGGGGGTCATTGATTCTCCTTATATGACAGTGTATAGCAAAAACTTAAAAATCTTCTTTGAAAAAACCCAGATAGATAGATTTTAGATATTAAGCATGAAACATCTTCTAGTGAGTGTCTACCAAGTTTGTTCAAATAAAAGCCCTAGGGTCAAAATGGGCCCCGCCCCAGGGTGTCTTTAAATTTTCCCTATATGCATATAGTAAAAACTTATAAAATCTTCTTTTAAAGAACCCAAAGAGCTAGAGCTAAGATATTTAGCATGAAACATCTTCTAAAGAGTGTCTACCAAGTCTGTTCAAATAAAAGCCCTGGGGTCAAAATTGGCCCCGCCCCAGGGGGTCATTGATTTTCCCTATATGCATATAGTAAAAACTTTAAAATCTTCTTTTAAAGAACTCAAAGAGCTAGACCTAAGATATTTAGCATGAAACATGTTATAATGGGTGTCTACCAAGTTTGTTAAAAAAAAAAGCCCTGGGGTCAAAATTGGCCCCGCCCCGGGGTTCATTGATTTTCCTTATATGTGTCTAGCAAAAACTTAAAAAATCTTTTTTGAAAAAACCCAAAAAGCTGGAGTTTAGATATTAAGCATGCAATATCTTATAGTGAGTGTCTACAAAGTTTGTTCAAATAAAAGCCCTGGGGTCAAAACTGGCCCCGCCCCGGGTGTCATTGATTTTCCTTATATGTTTATAGCAAAAACTTAAAATCTTCTTTGAAAAAACCCAAATAGCTGGAGTTTAGATATTAAACATGAAACATCTTCTAGTGAGTGTCTACAAAGTTTGTTCAAATAAAAGCCCTGGGGTCAAAACTGGCCCCGCCCCAGGGGTGTCAATGTTTTTAACTATATGTGTATAGTAAAAACTTAAAAATCTTCTTTTAAAAAACCCAATGAGCTAGAGCTTAGATGTTTAGCATGAAACATCTTGTTATTGGTGTCTACCAAGTTTGTTCAAATAAAAGCCCCTGGATTAAAATTGGCCCTGATGGGGGGGGGGGGAGTAGATCATTGTTTTTCATTATAGGTGTGTAGTAAATACTTAACATTGTGAAACATCTTCTAATGGGTGTCTTCTAAGTTTGTTCAAATAAAAGCCCTGGGGTTTAAACTGGCCCCGCTCCGGGTGCCTTTATACAGGTGAGCGACCTCAGGGCCATCATGGCCCTCTTGTTTATTTGATCTTGGCAGTTGTCCACTTTTAACTGAAAATATTCCTGGTCAACTAGCGAGTAATTAATGATTTCTTTGCTTAGTAACGAACTCCTTACAAATAGCCATTAGACATGATGCCATGAGATCAGTTGTCACAGAGAAAACCTGCCTCATCCGAGGATCACACTAGGGACTCTTGGATACAATTTTGATCGTCTTCCTTATAATTTTAGCTATCGGGGACAACCTATATTTATTTTAACTTCAATTCAAATGTTATTCTCAGATTAAATGTAGACTACCAAAACAATTCAAAATATACTAAATAAATTGTATACTTTATTATATATGAATATTTCATCATTTTCTCTATAAAATACAATTTGATTTTTCAGATGGCTAAAAAAACCTATTTAGCCAGATGTTAGCATTTTGTACTTCACAACATGCATCAGAAACGTGCATATTATGAAATCAATACATATGAGATCATAATGTACTATTACTTGGTTGATTATTTTCAGCATTTGAAACTCATTTTTGCAGGGCAAGCTGTCATTGACATGATCCCCGATAACAAGCATATGTCATTCATCAGCCAAAAGAAACATTTTTTGCTAATTTAATGATCACAAAAAAGCAAGAAATTCATGAGTTTTATCAAGAGATTGCATTCAAATCAAATGATGATGTCTATATTATTCACCTAACTTTGGATAAAATATCTAATGATAAATTAAGTGATCACAGTTAGGTATCTAATAAATCTAAGGTAGGAATGATGAAATATCCACCTAACTTGAGGCATAAAATTATGAGCTAAGCCATATGTAACTCTAGATAGGTGTATCTAAATGTATTTCCTTAATTATAAAAGTCTATAATAAAAAAAGTTATCCCAAGTTTACAGCTCACTGTTACCAAAGAGGAATAATAAATAACATTTTGTATAGGACTACAAGATAATCAATCACACAAAATATCTAGGACCACAAGGTTAATATTTATACCAAATATCTTGGACCACGAGGTTATTATTTATACCAAATATCTTGGACCACAAGTTCAACATTTATACCAAATATCTCGGACCACATGATTATTTATACCAAATATTGCAGACCACATGGTTATTATTTATACCAAATATCTTGGACCACATGGTTATTATTTATACCATATATCTCGGACCATAAGGTTATTATTTATACCAAATATCTCGGACCACAAGGTTATTATTTATACCAAATATCGCGGACCACATGGTTATTATTTATACCAAATATCTTGGACCATAAGGTTATTATTTATACCATATATCTCGGACCATAAGGTTATCATTTTAACCAAATATCTCGGACCACATGGTTATTATTTATACCAAATATCGCGGACCACATGGTTATTATTTTAACCAAATATCACAGACCACATGGTTATTATTTATACCAAATATCATGGACCACAACTAACATAGAAACCAAATATCTCGAACTACAAAGTAATCATTTATACCAAATATCTTGGACCACAAGGTTATCATTTATACCAAATATCTTGGACCACAAGGTTATCATTTATACCAAATATCTTGGACCACAAGGTTATCATTTTAAAAGCATTATTTGTCAATCAAATATCTTTGACCACAAGGTTATGAATCATACCAAATATCTTGAACCACACGGTTATCATTTACACCCCAGACCACAAGGTTATCATACATATCAAATATCTTGGACCACGAAGTTACATTGATACCAGATATCTTGGACCACAAGGTTATCATACATACCAAATATCTCTGACCAGGAGGTTATCATTTATATCAAATATCTTGGACCACAAGGTTATCACTGATACCAGATATTTTGGACCACAAGGTTATCATACATACCAAATATCTTGGACCACAAGGTTATCATTAATACCAAATATCTTGGACCATGAGCTTATCATTAATACCAAATATCTTGGACCGCAAGGTTATCATTTAAAAAGCATTATTTGTAAGCCAAATATCTTGAAACACAAGGTTATCATTGATACCAAATATCTTGGACCATGAGGTTAACATTGATAACAAATATCTTGGACCACGAAGTTAACATTTATACCAAATATCTTTGACCACAAGCTCATCATACATACCAAATATCTTAGACCAGGAGGTTAACATTGGTACCAAATATCATGGACCACAAGGTTAACATTTACACCAGATATCAAAGAAATACAAGGTTATTATTGATACCAAATATCCTGGACCACGAGTTTAAACATTTATACCAAATATTTTGGACCAGGAGGTTGACATTGAAACCAAATATCTTGAACCATAAGGTTATCATTCATACCAAATAACTTGGACCATGAGCTTATCATAAATACCAAATATCTTGGACCACAAGGTTATCATTTTAAAAGCATTATTTGTAAGCCAAATATCTTGAAACACAAGCTTATCATTGATACCAAATATCTTGGACCATGAGGTTAACATTGATACCAAATATCTTGGACCACAAGGTTATCATTTATACCAAATATCTCAACCCACAAGGTTTTTATTGATATCAAATATCTCGGCCCACAAGGTTATCATTGTATCATAGTTTGGTGACATTTCTTTTGAAAATGTGTTAGAGCTAAAAAAAAATGCACAAGCTTTATGGTGGCTGATTTCTGCAATTTCTTGTTTTCCCTACAGTATGGTTACTTTTTCTGGGGTTACATATTGTGATGTATTTTTATGTTTGTCTAAGATAGAAAAGATGAAGAACATCAGAACACTCGACAATCTTATTTATAATGGGGTTGGGGCTTTGCCCCCTTGTACAAATTAGATAGCCTCCTGTTTTGATGCCCTTTCTATAACTTAACTTTTGGTATATTTACCTGACTTTATCCTGAAGTATTATAGTACTAGAGTTTAACATCTGAAGTTGATAGTCTTTACTCTGTATCTCTTTCTGAAGCTTTGCTATTATGCTATGTAAATTATCTTCTGTCAAACCCTGAATTAAATTAATGTAGACACATAAAGTCAATTAAATAGTCATACATTCTTAATTACCTAACTTGATCCATCAGGGTTCATACAAAGTGCTGGAACCAAATTTCCATGTCTTTTCAATCATTCTATAAAACTTTTCATGATAACATAACAGTAGATTTAAGTTTCAATGTCTAGAGTTTAAGCCTTTGGTTATATCTTCCTTGGCATCAAATGATTACATGCTACTTCTAGAACTGTGTCTAGGTTTGTTTACCCTCATCACCGCAATAATTACCATATAGGCAAGCATTAAAATTGGTCCTATTCATTCAAGTAAGAAGGCTGATATCAGAGAGACCGAGTAGATTGCACTACATAGCAAATTACATATGACAAGTAAAGGGAAGTAATATAACTACCAGTATGGAATATTAATCAAAGAGTTATCTTTTCTTGATTCCATAACAATTTGATGCATAACATGATAAAATTCCCTTTACCAAGATTCCATGATTTTTCGAGTCAAAATTCATTTTCCATTATTAATTTTCCAGGTCTGTATGAACCCTGTCCATTAATAGATTTAATAAAGTTCAGCAAATTTTGGTACTTTTCCATACCTATTATAACAACTGAGAAACAAAAAATTAGTATCTAAAATATCTAACACTTGTTAAATCATATTGTTTACCAAATTATGAATGTTACAATATATAATATATACATTTTAGAATAATCAAACGTTAGGATTTTTAAAACGTTTAATGAATGCTTTTAAAAATAAACTATAATTTGTGAAAAAATAAACAATAAATCTCAAAAAATGTTGAAAAAAGACAAAAAAGGATAATGGACACAAGGTGATGCCAACAGCTTACCTTAAGCATAATATGCTCAAATATATATATACAAACAATTCTGTTACATACTATCTGATCTTACACAGACCCTGGAAATTTTATGAACCTTAGAAATAGGATTTACAGATTATAATTAACACTCATCTGGAAACTGATATAATAGGATCTAACTTGCAGGATACTAATATAAAAGGATAAAACTTACAGGATACTAAAACAACATGATATAACTTACATGATACTAAAACAACATGATATAACTTACATGATACTAAAATAACATGATATAACTTACAGGATACTAAAATAACAAAATAATTTAAAGGATACTAACATAACAGGATATTACTTACATGATACTATAACATAACAGGGTATAACTTACAGGGTACTTACAAAACAGCATATATAACTTACAGGATACTAACATAACATGATATAACTTACAGGATACTAACATAACAGGATATATCTTACTGGATACTAACATAACAGGATATAACTTACAGGATTCTTACATAACATGATATAACTTACAGGATTCTTACATAACATGATATAACTTACAGGATTCTTACATAACAGGATATAACTTACAGGATACTAACATAACAGGATATTACTTACAGGATTCTTACATAACAGGATATAACTTACAGGATTCTTACATAACAGGATATAACTTACAGGATACTAAAATAACAGGATATTACTTACAGGATTCTTACATAACAGGATATTACTTACAGGATACTAACATAACAGGATATTACTTACAGGATACTAAAATAACAGGATATTACTTACAGGATTCTTACATAACAGGATATTACTTACAGGATACTAACATAACAGGATATTACTTACAGGATACTAACATAACAGGATATTACTTACAGGTTACTTACATAACAGGATATAACTTACAGGATACTAACATAATAGGATATTACTTACAGGATACTACATAACAGGATATAACTTACAGGATACTAACATAACAGGATATAACTTACAGGCTACTACATAACAGGATATAACTTACAGGCTACTACATAACAGGATATTACTTACAGGATACTAACATAACAGGATATTACTTACAGGATTCTTACATAACAGGATATTACTTACAGGATACTACATAACAGGATATAACTTACAGGATACTAACATAACAGGATATAACTTACAGGCTACTACATAACAGGATATTACTTACAGGATACTACATAACAGGATATTACTTACAGGATTCTTACATAACAGGATATTACTTACAGGATACTAACATAACAGAATATTACTTACAGGATACTACATAACAGGATATTACTTACAGGATTCTTACATAACAGGATATTACTTACAGGATTCTTACATAACAGGATATAACTTACAGGATACTAAATAACATGATATAACTTACAGGATACTAACATAACAGAATATTACTTACAGGATACTACATAACAGGATATTACTTACAGGATTCTTACATAACAGGATATAACTTACAGGTTATACTTACTTACATTACAGGTTACTAACATATCATGATATTACTTACAGGATACTTATATAACATGATATAACTTACAGGATACTAACATAACATCATACATCCTAAGGGTTACTAACATAATATGATAGAACTTAGAGGTTACTAACATAACAGGATAGAACTTACAGGATGCTAACATAACAGGATACAACTTACAGGATACTTATATAACAGGATAGAACTTACAGGATACTAATATAACAGGATATAACTAACAGGATACTTACATAACAGGATACTAACATAATAGGATATTACTTACAGGTTACTTACATAACAGGATAAAACTTACAGGATACTAACATAACAGGATATAACTTACAGGATAATAACATAACAGGATATATCTTACTGGATACTAACATAATATGATATAACTTACAGGATACTAACATTACATGATATAACTTACAGGATACATGTACTTACATAACAGGATATATCTTACAGGATAATAACATTACAGGATATATCTTACTGGATACTAAAATAACATGATATTACTTACAGGAAACTAACATAACAGGATATAACTTACAGGTTACTTACATAACACACTATAACTTACAGGTTACTAACATAATATGATAGAACTTACAGGATACTTGTGTTACAGGTTTTAACTTACTGGATAGGAAAGTTTTAGGGTAGAGACCATCTGGTTTATCTTTGCTAGCACTGATATGTCATGCATCATGTCTGTAAGTTCTGACGCTACATCATATGGATCCTCTTCCGACCTCTCTAAAATAATAAGACATTGATGACTCTGACCTCTCTAAAATAACAAGGCATTGGTGACTCTGATCTCTCTAAAATAACAAGGCATTGACGACTCTGACCTCTCTAAAATAACAAGGCATTGACGACTCTGACCTATCTAAAATAACAAGGCATTGATGAAAAGCATGCATGTCCCCTGATGGCAAAAAGTTAGTCATGTTTCCTGAAGAATTTGTGGTTGTCAATGTGACCTTGAACTTATAAAATACTGAATGTGCTATAGGTCATCTACAAATCATGACCAGTATCTGTATCAAATTTGATGTTTGAAGCAAAAAAAACAAAAATTCTCTTAATACTGAACGACAATGTGAATGTTATAACCTTGACCTTTGACCCAGTTAATATCAAAGGTTTATCTACATTAAATGACCAACTTCCAAAATGGAAGGACTTCAGGCTAAAGCATTCTCTACATATTGATAAGACAACAGGTTTGGTCAATTAGGGCAAAGCAATATATCCCCATTTCTGGGAAGGAGGCTTATAAATAACATGATACTAAACATATGAGCCGCGTCACGACAAAACCAATCTTATGGGTTTGCGACCAGCATGGATCCAGACCAGCCTGCGCATCCGCGCAGTCTGATGAGGATCAATGCTGTTCTCTTACCAACCCTATTACAAGTAGTGAAACTGATAGCGAAGAGCATGGATCCTGATCAGACTGCGCGGATGCGCAGGCTGGTCTGGATCCATGCTGGTCGCAAACCCATTATGTTGGTTTTGTCATGACACGGCTCATATATGCATGCTCTTCTAATATAATGTAAGTCTCTTTACTTTTAATATAGATAGGATTGTAAAACCAGATTGATCCTGTACTAGACTATGTTAAGTGATGTTGTCATGCTGTTGGGAAATAAAATGAGCCTTGTCATGACAAAACCAACATAATGGGTTTGCGACCAGCATGGATCCAGACCAGCCTGTTCATCCGCGCAGTCTGATCAGGATCCATGCTGTTTGCTATCAGTTTCTCTACTTGTTATAGGGTTTGTAAGCAAACAGCATGGATCCTGATCAGACTGGTCTGGATCCATGCTGGTTGCAAACCCACTATGTTGGTTTTGTCATGACAGGGCTCAAATATAATATCATGTAAATTACCTGCATTGCTGTTGCTTTAATGTAAAATTTTTAAAATAAAAACGGTATAACAAAATAATTCAGTGTTAAAGATAGGTCATTTTAACTCTTAAACTAGCGGAACTGAAAAACAGATTGGCACCAGTTTACAGTCAATGAATTTAAGATTTTGAATTTACTAGCCCAAATTCCAGTTTTGAATTTATTCTTCTATATATCTAACTAAATTTTCTTAAAATTTTTACTGGCCCGAACTAATTTTCACTGGCCTGTGATGGTTACAGAATTACAGAAATAAATTCAATATTTATTCAATCTAAAACCCTAATTTTCTCTTTTCTTTTTTTTTCAAAGGTGGGTGGGTGGGGTTGGAGTTATAGCCCCAACGGAGCAGATATCATATGGCGAAATTCCAGCTTTACTGGTGGACGAAGACCTCAGGTGCTTGTCTGTGCATTATGTGAGGCCAAACAGACAACTAGGTGAGTATAATCTCCGACACTCCATACTCTGGATAAAGCTTCCTCACATAAATTAGAATCCAAACTCCCTGCCATAATTCAAACCCACAGCAGCTGAGGGGCAAATTGGTTTTAACCACCTAGACATCCTAAAATTTTCATTAAAACACGAAAGTGATTTTTCTTAAAATGGTTGCAATTTATATGGAATTTTTCTTGTTAACAGCGAAATATATTCAATAAATAACTCCCAACACAAACTTCTTGTGTACGTACCTGTTTTAGGGGACATTATAGTTGAGCTTGTACTCCCTATATTTACAGTTGTCTGCATATTAGGAGTGATAGCCGACGTGGTGAGTTCGAGATCTTGTAACCGCTGATGCCATTTGTACGTAAACCTCTCCGAATTCGCTGCATCTTGGTCCCTGTTTCAAAAACATAATAACTGTTGTTGAAAAAAGAAAATTAACTGAGGCCCGCATGGAAGATCAGGAAACTGAATGTGTAAGCCTCATTAAATAAAGTTGTTACTTACTTACTACTTACTAAATCTTGATTCCTATACTTAAAGTAGGACATAATAGTGTGAAGCAACAAATATCTAATAATCATTTCTTTTTATCAAATCTATATACCTTAAAAATAAAAGACTTCTTTTTTTTATTCATTTAAAGATAAGAATTCTTTTTCTCTCCATAATTTTGCACAAAATGAGAGCTTTTACTTAATAAAATATCTGATATAATTTAACGCTTCTGTGCAGGATTGCCTAAATATTACAAGCAATGTGTGATAATTATATGAGCTGCGTCACGCCAAAACCAACATAGTGCGTTTGCGACCAGCATGGATCCAGACCAGCCTGCGCATCCACGCAGTCTAATCAGAATCCATGCTTGTTTGCTTACCAACCCTTTTAGTAGAGAAACTGATAGCGAACAGCATGGATCCTGATTAGACTGCCCGGATGCGCAGGATGGTCTGGATCCATGCTGGTCTCAAACACACTATGTTGGTTTAGTCGTGACGTGGCTCAAATAATGCAACTGATAGTTTAACAGTTAATAAAACTCCCTGTTACTCGTGTATCTCATTAAATCATGTAACTGACATTAATTGATACATTAATTTACTTAAGCCTTGATAATGACTATGATATCATCAGGTAATTAAAAGTTAGAACAAAAAGCTCATTTTAATAAGGTTGGTTACTGCTTTGACGCATCTAAGAATACAATTGTCATGAGGAAAAGTTAAGAAAAAATTATTTTCACTCCACGTGATCTTTGGAAACCCCAATAATCTTAATATAAAGGTAGAGATCAAGCTTTGATCAATAAATGAGCCGCATCATGACAAAACCAACATAATGGGTTTGCGACCAGCATGGATCCAGACCAGCCTGCGCATCCGCATCTGCGCAGTCTGATCAGGATCCATGCTGTTCGCTTACCAATTCTATTACACGTAGAGAAACTGATAGCGAACAGCATGGATCCTGATCAGACTGCGCGAATGTGCAGGCTGGTCTGGATCCATGCTGGTCGCAAACGCACTATGTTGGTTTTGTCGTGACGCGGCTCAAATGAAGGTGCTATAAGATACTGTAAGTATACATATATTAGTGTGTTAGAAAAACCAAACCAAAGTAACAAAGTAAAGCCAAACACTTACTTTATAAACTTTTTATATCCTCCCCCAAATATTCCTGGCATACAAATTACTTACAACATTTGACTAACGTTCATATTACGTGTTGGAAACATGTATATAGTTATTTACACAGCCATTTTAATAACCATTAGCAAAAGCAATTTTAAAAATACAAGTTTACAATTTGTTCAGACTTTATACTTTATATATGGCTTAATAAGGCATTCAAAGAAAGAGTTCGATAAGTAAATAAATAAAATTTTTATGATAATTCCTGAGACTATATAATTAAAGGCACATTATGCCTCAGAAATCCATAGTTATTAAATTCTACAGAAATGTCAAACATGTGTTTGATAATATTTTGATAATGGATTTACCGGTAGGTACGTTAGATGGGGATAGCCTGAATAATTATGCACTAAAGTGTCATAAAGGAAGCAAAATGTAAACAATGTAGTATTTTTTACTTCCATACAAAATACTAATTCACCATAATTATACCAATTGCCAACAAAGCCAAAGGAACAAAGAAAATTCATCTATATGGCAAATGAGTATTTTTTTTTGGAAAAAGTTACAAAATACCAAAAATAAAAAGTTTTATAGAAATAAAAATTAAAGCATATCTGATGCATAATGGGCCTTTAAATGAAGTACTTAAATTAATTATGAGCTCCTTAAATATGACTTCAGTTGTTTTTTTTTGTTTTTTTACCTCCTTTTAATCAGTAATATAAACTCTTGTAAGTTACATGCAGTTAAATCTTCCACAAATGAAAATATGTGTAATTAAGCAAAATGTAGAATGATTTTAGCTATAAATTCATACTGTACAAACTGATGTGGCAGCTGACCAGTGGCTGTATACTGGTGGCAAAAGTTAATCACTTTTAATTCCTGTAGAGCACTCAGCTAAAGGATCAGTGTAAAAATCTGACCTCTTTAACTCCTCTGTCCAGTAGCTGATTATATACAGTAAACATAAAACATGCATGCATAAATAATCTTAAATTGAGCCATGTCACGACAAAACCAACATAATGGGTTTGCGACCAGCATGAATCCAGACCAGCCTGCGCATCCGCGCAGTCTGATCAGGATCCTGGTGCTGTTTGCTATCAGTTTGTCTACTTGTAATAGGGTTTGTAAGCGAACAGCATGGATCCTGATCAGACTGCGCGGATGCGCAGGCTGGTCTGGATCCATGCTGGTCGCAAACCCATTATGTTGGTTTTGTCATGACGCGGCTCAATTAATACAAGTACAGTAATCAGTTTAAAGAAGGTGTTATAAAGAGCAGCAAACAAGAAATATACATGTAAACAGAGCATGCTTTAACTACTGTATAAGTGGATATTTATGCGTCACAAAAAATTTGCGAATGTCAAAAAAGAGGACTTTCTGCTTGTGGGAATATTTGGGAAAATATAATTTTTACAGTCAAATTTATTCATTGTAAGATGCTGTATGAAATCCTGTTGTCGAATGATAGAAGAAAATTTGCCTAAATAGAAATAATTTTTGCGCAATCAAATATTTGTGAATAATTTCAATTTGCAAAAATCGCAAATATTTCCACATCGCAAAACTAACCACTTATAAAGTTTATTATCAAGGATTAACCACAAGACTGTTGTAAGCCCTTTTTTTTATTTCATATATGTTACTGCAGTTTTCTGGTCAACCCCTGATATACTAATATAAGTTTTGTAACCTATCACTGTTCCTAATGAGATAAGCCTGTCCAGGCAGGATATAAATATAAAGTATAAAGTATAGTAACAAAGATGAATAATCAAATGGTAGCAAAATCTTATAAATGCTTGTTGTTTAAATCAAAGACAAGTTATTAATCCTTTAGAGTTAACTTTTCCCCTTAACAACTACATTATACATGTTAGAGCTAATATCTTATATATAGTCTTTTTCTCTGCCTACATTTACTACTTTAGGCAGGGCACCAGACTTAAGAGCATAATAGAAAACAAGACTTGTCTCAGCTTATCTAAGTGCTGGATTGTAAAATAAAAGCGACATAGAAAAAGGGGCATAACTCTGCAAACTTGCTTTATCAGTCTTTAATGAATTTAAAAGTTACTTGCCCTATGGACATGCATTCCAATTTAAAAACTGGAGTATAAAGTAAGTTTGAAGTTATTAACTTTGACAAGTTTTCAGAAAATGACTTTAAAAGAAAAGAATCAAGTCAAAAAAGGGTATAACTTTGTAAAAAATGAATTTTAGGATTATCTGCACTTCTCAAATGGTGTCAAATTTTGAAAGTGAACATGTATATCATGTTTCAAAGTGAAATTTACTTTGGTAACAATTGAGAAAATGGACTCAGCAATTACCAGTTACATAAAATGGACTCAGCAATTACCAAATACATAAAAATAAACATGTATACCAGTGAATAGATTTTATAGCTTTTTGGAAAATGGACCTTGATGAAAATGCTAAACCAAAACAAATGCGCCAGCACTGATTAGATGTTCATGTATTATGACATAAGCTCCATTTTTTTCATCAAAAAGTGGAGCTAAAAAAGGGTCATAATCATTTAACAAAATGAAAGAGGAAGATATGGAAAATAGCTGGAAAATAAAAAGAAATGTGTGTAGTTAAAACATTTCTGAGAAATCTATTTCAATCCACCCTTCATTGTTTTCTAAGTATATATACACTAAATCAAAAGCACATGCAATTTTCATGCAGCTATTTATAAACTTAAGTGATATATATGAATATTGCAATAGTATATGGAAACAGGGACTAGAGACAAAGGATTACTTTGATTATTAAATATTATCATATTTATGTCATTTTAGCATGTTAAGATAGTTACATACTATGAACCAAAATAGCAGACGTAAGTAAATGTGTTTGCATTAAGGAACTCCAGGAACAAAAATAGCAGACACTGTGCTTGCATTAAGGGACTCCACAAACCAAAATAGCAGACGTTGTGCTTGCATTAAGGGACTCCACAAACCAAAATAGCAGAGGTTGTGCTTGCATTAAGGGCTCCATAAATCAAAACAGCAGACCTTGTGCTTGCATTAATGGACTAAACAAACAAAAATAGCAGACATTGTGCTTGCATAAAGGGACTCCTGACTAACCAAAAAAAGCATTAAGGGACTCCACTAACCAAAATAGCAACCGTTTTGCTTCCATTAAGGGACTCCAAAAACCAAAATAGCAAACATTGTGCTTACATTAAGGGACTAAAACAAACCAAAATAGCAAAGGTTGTGCTTGCATTAAGGGACTCCACAAACCAAAATAGCAAAGGTTGTGCTTGCATTAAGGGACTCCACAAACCAAAATAGCAAAGGTTGTGCTTGCATTAATGGACTCCACAAACCAAAACAGCAAAGGTTGTGCTTGCATTTAAGGGACTCCACAAACCAAAATAGCAAAGGTTGTGCTTGTTTTATTTTAGCATGTTAAGATAGTTACATACTATGAACCAAAATAGCAGACGTAAGTTAATGTGCTTGCATTAAGGGACTCAAGGAACAAAAATAAGCAGATGTTGTGCTTGCATTAAAGGGACTCCCCAAACCAAAATAGCAAAGAATGTGCTTGCATTAAAGGACTCCAAAAATATTAAAAAGACAACATTGTGTTACCCATAAAAAAACAACAAAAATACGAAATTTTTGTGCTTGATTAAGAACTTCAACAAAATAGCAGCGTTGATGACTTGATTTAAAGGTTTGAAAACACAAAAAAATAGAAACATTGTGTTACAAAAGGACTAAAAACTAAATAGAAAGGTTTTATTCAGGCATTTGGGTCCATACAACCAGAATTGTCTTACATAAGGAACAAAAAAAAAGAATTGTGCATCATCTTAAGACTGCCATCAACCCAATATAAGCAAAGGCATTTTCATTAATTTGGATCCACTGATCCAGAAATTAGCAAATTTTCTGACTAATTGCTCCCAAGCAAACAGCAATTCTTCAAATAGGAACAAAAAAAAACAAAGGACTTGCATAATCTCCCAAACCCATACAAATCCATTTCAAGACTCACAAACAATATTTCAAAGTACTTTTGGGTATCGCTAACCAGTTTTGCTGCATAAGGCGGACTCCACTAACCAAAATAGCAGATGTTGTGCTTGCATTAATGGACTAAACAAACCAAAATAGCAGATTTTATGCTTGCATTAAAGGACTCCACAAACCAAAATAGCAGACATTGTGCTTGCATATAGGGAGTCCAAAAATCAAAAAGCAAAATGCTGTGCTTCCATTAAGGGACTCCACAAACCAAAATAGCAAACATTGTGCTTGCATTAATGGACTCCACAAACAAAATTAGCAAACTCTGTGCTTGCATTGTGCTGAGCATAAATTTCTTTATTATTATTTGCACAGTTTTCTGTCTTAAGTGTTCCAGATGAGCTCTGTAAAAATTTCATATCTATTATGTTTTTATGTTTTTAAGCTTTTGAACCTCTGTGGAGCTCCCTTCAGCAGACGAAATTGGGTAGAAAAAAAATCTAAATTTTTTTTCACCACCATGATTAAATATGACAAAAGATAAGTATATAATAATATTGATTATACAATGCTTTAAATGTAGGGTATGTATTTTTTTTTTAAAACTTAATTTTGTTTTTTTTTTGTTCGTTTTTTTTTTTTTTTTTTTGAGGGGGGAGGAGTCGTAGACGTCCCTCTTTCCACATTTAATATTTTCATGCAGTTACATTATAATCACATTCCTACATGTAAGTATTACACTTGTATCAGTTTTTATTCACACATCAAAGCTAGAATTCTTTTAAAGCCAGGACATTTAATCTTACTTCAAACCCAGTAAAGATTTCCTTCTCCTCCTTTCTTTGCCGATTACAACCAAATATTTGTTCAACAAAATAAAACGAAAAGTTTCGCAACAACCCTGAATCAAAATTTAACATATGAAAAATAAATAATAAAATTGTTTAAATTAAGACCCTTATTAATAGTATAAATACAAGGAAAGTTGGCATAACTAGACACAGAAATGATTTTTGAAACTCGCTGAAAATAATAAGGAAATTGAATTGTTATGCAACAATTTGCACTTTCTTGTTTTGCAAAGCAAATGAAGAATAAAATTTGATATCAATATAAAATTTTAATATACATTTTTGTTCATTTACTACGACTTTTCATTGTACACATATGAGCCGCGTCATGACAAAACCAACATAATGGGTTTGCGACCAGCATGGATCCAGACCAGCCTGCGCATCCGCGCAGTCTGATCAGGATCCATGCTGTTCCCTTACAAACTCTATAACAAGTAGAGAAACTGATAGCGAACAGCATGGATCCTGATCAGACTGCGCGGATCCATGCTGGTCGCAAACGCAATACGTTGGTTTTGTTGTGACGCGGCTCATATGAGGTTTGAGATAACTTGCACAAATCAAAGTCTTTAGGCAACTTTGAAAGCGCTTCATCCAAGCAACAAACCTGGTTAGTCTGGTTGAAATCAAACTTGCGGTTTTTAAGAAAGTTCACAATATTAACCATCTATAAAACAGATGAACACACACACAGACAGGTGCGCATATGCTGTGGTGGCATAAAAAATAAAATGTAAGCAAGCAAACACAAATAAATATCTCAATTCAGCTATCACATGCAGGCTGTTCCAGCCCTGCATGCTGGTTGCATTGGCTTATTATAATTAGGCAGTTACGAGTCTTATACAACCAGCTTCAAACTAGGAAAAAATGTATGCTATCAGTGATACTTTCCAGTGATTTAAAACATGCTGTTATATCACCACCACCATCCCTGTATTGTTTCAAAAGAGTGTTAGAATTTGTCATACCATAGTGATGATGACATCATTTGATGTTTCAGTTGTACCATAGAAATTGAACCATGCCTTTAACACATTAAAAACGTTTTTACTTTCATCTACCATTCATAACTCAAGCTACATGTAATAAAAATTTATGGCAACATTTTAATTTATTGCTCGTATTGGAAATTTGGTATACCTGTATTTGTATATAATGAAATACGTCAATTAATTTCAGTATTCTGTCATTTTCAAGATGGAATTTACTCAACCAGTCTAATACAAGAGAAAAATTATATACAAGTCGCATACCATAGGAAAGTTATGTTACAAGTCATAATTGTCAGAAGGGAGTTATCTCACAAGTCCTACATCTGAGAAAAGTTACCTAACAAGTCATATACCAGAAGGAAATTACGTATCAAGTCAAACACCAGAGGGAAGTTACATTAAAAGTCATTTACTAAAGAGAAGTTACCCAATATGTCATATACCAAAGGGAAGTTACCTCGGAAGTCATATATCAAAGGAAAGTTACCTAACAAGTTATATAACAAAGGGAAGTTACCTATTAAGTCAATACAAGAGGGAAATTTTCTAACAAGTGATTTTCAAAAGGGAAGACTCCTCACCAGCGATATACCAGAGGAAAGTTTGGGAAGTTAATACAGAAAAGTTACACAACAAGTTATATCAGATGGAATTTATCTTAACAAGTAATATACCATAGGTAAATAACCTTACAAGTCATATATATCCTAGAAAGATTAGGAAGGCTACCATTCAAGTCATTGTGTAGGTGCAAAACAAATGATTTTCTACAGGAATGTTAATACAATTATCAGAGGGTAGCTATTTAACAAGTCATATACCAGAGGTAAAGTAACTACAAAGTCAATTACCATGGCATAGGGAAGTTTCCATATATGGCATATATCACAGAAAATAAAGGGAAGTTATTTCACAAGCTGTATATCATAGGGAAGTTACCTAACAAGTGGTATACCAAAGGTAGGGTACCTAACAATGAAAAAAACACAGGGAAGTTAGGGAAGTTACCTTAAAGAAGGCATATACCACAGCCAAGTTATCTACAAAACAAATAATATACCAGCACGAAATTACCTAAAATGAATTCCTAGATTCTGTATCAGTACTGACTGATTTAACTTGAAATGACAGCTAACTTCTGAAACAGATAATTAAGTGTGATTGGCATTACATCTGAATTTTTATCAAATTATCACATTTATTATGTTGCCAAAAAGACTCCCACACCTACAATGCAACCATACATTACCTTAACATATTTTAGTATGACTTACATCTAACGCAAAACTTCCTCATTTGAAATCTGAAGACCCATCACTACATCCATGAATCTGTTGTTCCAAAACAATTACAAGATTGCTGATTTTTTGTAGTATTTTAACCAAAAGATCATGTATTACATTACAACTACATGTATTACAAACACACATCAATGATTAGTCAAATTCCCCTCATCTTAACAAAAATCAACCAGAAACTAGAAGAGGTTTTTGTAACAAAAATATTTTTCTCCCATAACTACACATGTAGTTATGGTTACTGATCACTCCTGTGAAGTTTGGTTGAAATCCCACCAGCAGCTTGTGAAAACCTGTGAACGCTGGACAAGATTTTCCTATTTATAGCTCTGGCGGCCATTTTGTAGAGCAAAGCAAAACGTGCTAAAGATTTGCACAACTAGGAATGGTACTGATCACTCCTGTGAAGTTTCATTGAAATCCTGCCAGCTGTTTGTCCTGTGAAAGCCTGACAAGCTGAATGCAGATGACAGATGGATAGAATGGTGATATAGCAGACATCAAACCAATAACCTAAAAAATAATGGTATGACCCCAGGACCCTATATTTCTCCTAGAATCATAGAGGACATGTAGGACCTAAGTTACATCAGCCTTAATTCCAGCATGAACCCAAAGTACCTAAAATTACACTAACAACTTGAAAAACTTGCAAAGGTCAGTCAAACAAGTGTTTGTCACACAAGAGTTTTTAATATATATTTATCTATTGGAACAAAATCACACGAACAACATTTTGTTATTTTAGTATGAATTAAGAAAACAAACAAAAATTAATCAATTAATTAATAATTTCTGTATTTAGTTATGCCAAGGTACACAACCCATGTCTGCTTGATTCTGGTCACTGTGAAATCACATGACTGTGATATTAATAAATAATAATGAAACATACACAAAATTAGTACACACAAGCACATTTGTGATACTTTAAGTCAATGTACTAATTTCCCAAAAAAGTACATACTCGCAGTCAACTCGCAGTAACCATTCTTGAAAACTGAAAAAATTCTGTGCTCACAAAGTTCAATTAGAAAAAATTCTGTGCTCACAAAGTTCAATTAGAAAAAATTCTGTGCTCACAAAGTTCAATTAGAAAAAATTCTTTGCTCACAAAGTTCAATTATTTCATTGGCTGACCAGAAACAGGCAGTATCTAATCTACAATCTAATAAACAATAACCATGCAGAGCTCTTGATAAGCTTTTAATTCAAAAAGTATCTTTATGAATAAATCAAGTATAGAATTATTCAAAGTATTCCAATAGGTAAACTTTATGAAACCGTATGTTAATAGATAAGTTATTCTAAATTAGTCATATAAACCTATTTATGTTTTTTATTTTCTTTGTTTTTTAACTGAAATATCTTATTTTTTGGTGCTTTTTTGTTTTCAATTTTTTTTTTTTATAATTCAAATTTAACTCATACTGTGTCACTTATCAAGAGCTCTAAGGGAATGAAAAAAGTGAGGGTAAAACTGTGAACCAGACACACCTTTGTGAAACATGGACAGACACCAGTCTATCATTCATCAGAAATAATCTCCTCTGCTTAACATGGTGGGAACCAGTCACATCCTGTTAAAAATATTCATGAATATTTGCTAACTGTTTGATATTTAAGGGAGTAAGGGTGTAATGGTATTTGATTGAATGCTTTATCATACTGGGCTAACTCCGGAATTAAGTATATATTATTTTTTTTCCAAACTAATCCGCGGTACAAACAAACTTTTACAGTTACAGCTTCGAAAATTGACTTATCTATTAAGAACGGTAGTGCTCCATGAAGCTTTAGTTGTAACATTTGTTTGCACCTGGGAATTAGCTTTGAAAAACCAACATTTGCCATGTTCCGGATAACATCTATCATAGGGCCATGCATGGTTAGGCTCTCCAATTATGACATGTTTTAGCCAATATGGTACAGTAGCTACAACATTCCAGATCACCAAGCATCAGGAAGTAATTGTTAACAAACACTGTGCCTTCAACCTATCTAAAACAAAAAACCTTTGGTAGCATTAGAAAAGAAACACAGGTGAATATTTTTCAAACTAATTTTGAACAGTGACTGTCCTAGTGAACTTGAATATTAATCTGTTATTCTACGGTTTTAACATTTCAGCCGACTAAAATAAGCAAAACTTTTAATTGAATTTCAAAAAGATGTGTTTTTTCTTCCTTGTGGGTGAATTAAAGTAAAAATTAAAAAAAAAATGGCTGCAATTTTGAGTCAAGTACAGCAATGGAAGAGCTAAAAATGAATTCAGTGTACTTGAAATAGGTAAGTAAGCACAACTACCTCTTTGTAGTAAAACAATGCCGATGAACATTTTCCAAAAATAAAAGCAGTCTATTTTGTGTCTGTTGAAAAAAAGTTTTAATAAACAGTTCTTTCTGTCTTCATTTCTGGAGATGGCCATTGTGACACATATTAAATAAATCACTTTGTGTTGCAGTCCATGCTGTGCCATGAAGGCAGTGTTGTGTTACACCCTTGAAATACAATTTTATTTGCTCACAAACTCATTATGTGTCATGAGGGTGAGTGTTCCATTAGCCCCTTGAAATAAGCTCACAAACTCCTTACGTGTCATGAGGGTGAGTGTTCCATTAGCCCCTAGAAATAAGCTCACAAACTCATAACGTGGCATGAGGGTGAGTGTTCCATTAGCCCCTTGAAATAAGCTCACAAACTCATTACGTGTCATGAGGGTGAGTGTTCCATTAGCCCCTTGAAATAAGCTCACGAACTCATTATGTGCCATGAGGGTGAATGTTCCATTACACCCTTGAAATATTTTATTTTGCTCACAAACCTAGAAATATCTCCATGGGCAACTGATTAAATTTGCAGACATTATATCTGTTGCGCCTACAATGCATGTGTTCAAAGACTGTAATGAGTATTTGAAGAAGTTACACAGTTTCCCTTTTCTGTCTGTAAGCATACATGAGAAATATTTATATATCATCAAATAACAGAAAAGTAATTACCCTAAATTCTATATAATAGATTTGCCCTATATTTGACTTAGAACAGTCCATTTGTAGGGCAAGGGATTTCAGAATGAAGACACTAAAATTTACGAGCAGTCAGTTTGTCTGAATGCTACCTGTTTAATCATTTAAAGACGTTTCCCGGAGTTTTCATATAGACAATATTAAAACTGTTCAATAGAATTTGGCATGTGATAACAGAAACATTTTAAACGAAAAAAAAAAAATTAGGGTCACCAACCTCATTTTCAAGTTATCTGCCCTTGAATTGGACTTTTTCGTTTAATTCAAAGGCAGAGAATTTACAATGAAGCAAAACAATACATTTTTTTCTTCTTATTTTCATGAAGCTTACATTTGTCTCAGTCAATAAGCAAAATTTCAAGAACAAAGTTAAAGAGCATAGTATTTTTCCACTTCTTCTCTTAACCTGTGCATTTTTTCTTAAAAATTGGCCTACTTTTTATAAATTTAAAGTACCTTTATTTTCATTGAAAAAAATTAACAGAAACAATATAAGGAATTGCATGTAATTATGTATTGTATTCAACAATAAAAAGAAAAACATTATCTGGAAGTAAAAAACAAGAATTCATTTACAATGAGTATGTATAAGTTATCTGCCCTTTAAATGACCTAAAATAAGTAGAACATTCTGATTCAGGGGCAGATAAGTCAAAAACGAGAAAGGTGACCCCAATTTTTTTTTGCTTTAAATGTTTCTGTTATCATATTCTGACAACATGCCAACTTTAAAAAGAAATTCTATAGAACAGTTTTAATTTTGCCTATAATTTTGTCTATATGAAAACTCCTGAAAACATCGTTAAAGACTGCCTTCGCTCTATCCTGTATCTTCGCTCTGGTGTTAGGTTCTGTAATAAATGCACTTATTAACACAAAGTAATGAAAGTCAAAATACATAAAATATCCCTTAGACAAAGATAATGTTTATATATACCTGGGATATTTGTTCCATATCATCTTGACGTATAAGGTAAATATTTTTTTCAACTGGGTGCATTCGTGCAGAAAGCTTGTTCACTATCTGTTGGCCGTGATAGTACTGCTCACTCTGACGCTTCCGCTCATTCAGCTGGTGCGCCACATTCTCTATCCAGGTCACGGCTTCCTGTAATGGTTCCCGGTCATGATGATCTCTCGGACTGTATTTCAACAAATCCTAAAATAGTTTCAAATTTCAATATATAATTTTGGTATTTTCCCTAAGCCATCTTTTAGAGTCGCATAATGCTTTATAAATCCATATTTTTTTTAATTTGTTGTGTTATAAAAGTAACCTTAATTTAAACAAAGTGGTATTTTGACTTTCATACAAAATACTAATTTACTATAATAATACCAATTAACAAAAGAGCTGAAGAAGAAAACGATATGCATGGAAATTGTGTCAATTTCGGAAACTGAAACAATATGTCAAAAAATAAAAAAGTTTTTAAGAAATAAAAATGAAAGCTCTTCTGAGGCCTTTAGTTAGTAAAGGAATGATTGTAATGTAATATCCTTGGCAGGATTCGTACCCACAGTGGTAGTCCGGAGTGTCATAAAAACAGTTTATTTTACAACAAGTATCCTAACACATTATCATCTCAATTTCTTATGAAGACTATTAAAATACCAAAGATGCTCTTCAAGACTTAATGTGCACCTCGTAGATAAAGTTTAATAACATACCTTTATAATCATGATTAACTGTGGTAGAGTTTAGTAACATTCCTTCATAATCATAATAAACTGTGGTAGAGTTTAGTAACATACCTTTATAATCATGATAAACTGTGGTAGAGTTTAGTAACATACCTTTATAATCATGATAAACTGTGGTAGAGTTTAGTAACATACCTTTATAATCATGATAAACTGTGGTAGAGTTTAGTAACATACCTTTATAATCATGATAAACTGTGGTAGAGTTTAGTAACATACCTTTATAATCATGATAAACTGTGGTAGAGTTTAGTAACATACCTTTCTAATCATGATAAACTGTGATAAAGTTTAGTAACATATCTTTACAATCATGATAAACTGTGGTGGAGTTTAGTAACATACCTTTCTAATCATGATAAACTGTGGTGGAGTTTAGTAACATACCTTTATAATCATGAGAAACTATGGTAGAGTTTAGTAACATACCTTTATAATTATAATAAACTGTGGTAGAGTTTTGTAACATACCTTTATAATCATAATAAAATGTGGTAGAGTTTAGTAACATACCTTTATAATTAGATAAACTGTGGTAGAGTTGAGTAACATACCTTTATAATCACGATAAACTGTGGTAGAGTTTAGTAACATACCTTTATAATCATGATAAACTGTGGTAGAGTTTTAGTAACATACCTTTATAATTATAATAAACTGTGGTAGAGTTTTGTAACATACCTTTATAATCATAATAAAATGTGGTAGAGTTTAGTAACATACCTTTATAATTAGATAAACTGTGGTAGAGTTGAGTAACATACCTTTATAATCACGATAAACTGTGGTAGAGTTTAGTAACATACCTTTATAATCATTATAAACTGTGGTAGAGTTTAGTAACATTCCTTTATAATCATAATAAACTGTGGTAGAGTTTAGTAACATACCTTTATAATCATGATAAACTGTGGTAGAGTTTAGTAACATACCTTTATAATCATGATAAACTGTGGTAGAGTTTAGTAACATACCTTTATAATTAGATAAACTGTGGTAGAGTTGAGTAACATACCTTTATAATCACGATAAACTGTGGTAGAGCTTAGTAACATACCTTTATAATCATGATAAACTGTGGTAAAGTTAAGTAACATACCTTTATAATCATGATAAACTATGGTAGAGTTTAGTAACATACCTTTATAATCATGATAAACTGTGGTAAAGGTAAGTAACATACCTTTATACATGTTATAATCATGATAAACTGTGGTAAAGTTAAGTAACATACCTTTATAATCATGATAAACTGTGGTAGAGTTTAGTAACATACCTTTATAATCATGATAAACTGTGGTAAAGTTAAGTAACATACCTTTATACATGTTATAATCACGATAAACTGTGGTAGAGTTTAGTAACATACCTTTATAATCATGATAAACTGTGGTGGAGTTTAGTTACATACCTTTATAATCATGATAAACTGTGGAAATCTCTGTACAGGTTTAAGCATCAGTCCTGGTAGAGATAACCTGTCAGCACTCTCCATCTGTTTCTTCTGCATAATATAAAACATAATTATAACCATTTAATGCTTTCTTTCTTGTTAAAAATCATTTCCGATTTTTTTTTTCAGGAGTTTTCATATAGACATTCAAGCAAAAATAAAATTTCTAAAAACTTTGCATGTTGTTAGAATATGATGACAGAAACATTTTAAGCGAAAAAAAGTTGGGTGTTGAGTTATATGCCCTTGAATTAGAATTATTTTACTTACATGTATATGAGGTCATTTCAAGGGCAGATAACTTATACATACCTCTACATAATCTTATTTTTACTTCTTGATTATGTTTTTCTTTTAATTGTTGATCCCAATGTGTAACTAGAACTCCGCTCATCTAAACTATGTAGCACATTTAAAGTAGCACACAAGGGATCTAATCCAGCATAGCAAAAACTAAGCTACTCTATAAAAACCTCTATTCTATCTAGTTAATCATGTAAACATTTAAAAACATTAGCAATATTAATTAAACCTTAGAATATAAATATTCTGTCATTCAATATTATATCATTGACATAATTAACCAATAGTTCACCAGTAAGTTATTCAAATTATATCCAGATAAAATTATTGAAATGATACATCAACTAGAACTCCGCGAGTCGGATGTGTCGCCTTGTGAACAATGTAGTTTAGGGGAAATGGCCAGGACAAAAATGAAATATGAAAAATAACAAAGGGCAATAACTAAAAAATTAATAAGTGCAGAGCAGCAGTTTCTGTACACTGCACTTCTTATCAATAAGATCTATCATTCTATGATGTTTCAAGTCCATAGCTTTCATACTTGAGGAAAAATGACCAGGACAAAATAAAGTAAGAAAAGCAACAAAGGGCAATAACTCAAAAATAAGAAATGCTGAGTATCATTTCTTATGCACTGCACTTCTTTTTAATGAGATCTATCATCCTATGAAGTTTCAAGTCCATAACTTTTATACTTTCAGAGAAATGGCCTGGACAAAAATTAAGTATGAAAATAAACAAAGGGCAATAACTCAAAAAATAAGAAATGCAGAGTACCAGTTCTTGTGCACTGCACTTCTTCTTAATGAGACCTATCATCCTATGAAGTTTCAAGTCCATGGCTTTTATACATTAGGAGAAATGGCCCGGACAAAAATAAAGTATGAAAATTAACAAAGGGCAATAACTCAACAAGGGTGCCATAGTCACAAAATACGCCCGTTTACGAAAAAGCTTTAGATGGAGATGGGGGCATTATGGATAAGTGTTATCTAGCAAGCAAGTTTTTATTCTTGGCACTGTGTTGTTAAATGAACCTTAAAACAAATCAATAGGGAAGATATGCACAGAATGTGTGACCTTGACCTTGGTCGCAGGGACCTGAATTTTATGCACGGCACTCAGCCTCACAATGATGAACATTTGTGCCAAATTATATTGAAATCCCTCTATGCATGTAGAAGTTTTGCTCCAGACAAGTGTTTTTCTATGAGCTCTAACTGTGACCTTCACCTTTGACCTAGAGACTTGGTTTATGTGCAGGGCACTACGTCTCATGGTGGTGAACAATTCTATAAAAGTAACATTAAAATTCCTCCATGCATGTAGAAAATATGCTCCGGACAACATCTGGATATTTAATCATCTCCAGTGACCTTGACCTTGCAAATATTAATTTAAATTAAATGTGTAACACCTGTAGTCATGATAGTTACCATTTGTGCTACAATCCATCAATAAATGATGACTAAATGGTCCCTATAACCATCTTCAAATTTTTATCTGAACTTTGACCTCTATGTGTAACCTTGACTTTGGTCGCAGGGATCTGAATTTTGCATGCGACACTCAGCCTCACAATGGTGAACATTTGTGCCAAGTTATATTGAAAACCCCCTATGAATGTAGAAGTTTTGCTCCGGACAAGCGTTTTTCAATGAGCTCTAAGTGTGACCTTGACCTTTGACCTGGAGACCTGGATCATGCATGGAGCAATACATATCATGGTGGTGAACATTTCCATAAAGTATTATAAAAATTCTTCCATACATGTAGGAGATATGCTCCAGACAAAATCTGGATATTTCACCATCTTTAGTGACCTTGACCTTGCATATATTGACCTAAAGTACATGTGTCACAGCCGTAGTCATTATAATGACAATTTGTGTTACAATCCCTCAATAAATGATGATTAAATCGTCCCTATACACATCTTCATATTTTTATCTTTTTTTTAAACGGGCGTATAAAAAGTACATGTAATTTAATAACTAAAAAATTCTGATTTAAGATTTTATTCTAGGGAAATACATTTCATTACAATTCTTAATCTTTGAATGAGCTGAACTGATATTTACTTGAAAATTAAAATATAATTAAATTTCTATGAGAAAGTATTTACATTTGATAAGGTAATTACTGTATGATCTTTATGAACAAATACCAAGTCTACAGAAACACCATAGTTATCACAGTTAAGAATCTTGACCAATGAATGAAACATGTGTAAATAAATGTTACATTCTTTAGAACATACTCAAGTCCAAGAAAGAGGATTATTTCATGCCCTTTGATTAAATTCTATTTTTAGAATTGAAAGTGAAAATAGATCAAGGGAGTAATTGTGTAAGTCATTTATGAACAAAGTAATAACTTTGTTGTCTCCCTTTGATTAAATTCTATTTACAAAATCTGGATATTTCATCATCTTTAGTGACCTTGACCTTGTATATATTGACCTAAATTATATGTATCACAGCCATAGTCTTGATAATGACCATTTTGTGTTACAATCCCTCAATAAATGATGACTAAATGGTCCATATACACATCTTCATATTTTTATCTGAACTTTGACCTCTATGTGTGACCTTGACCTTGGTCGCAAGGACCTGAATCTTGCACGCGACACTCCGCCTCACAATGGTGAACATATGTGCCAAGTAATATTGAAATCCCTCTATACATGTGGAAGTTTTGCTCCGGACAAGCATTTTTCAATGAGCTCTAAGTGTGACCTTGACCTTTGACCTAGAGACCTGGTTCATGTGCGCGACACTGCTCCTCATAGTGGTGAACATTTCTATGAAGTTTCATTAAAATCCCTCCATACATGTAGGAGATATGCTCCGGACAAAATTGGACGCCGCCAGCCCGCCCGCCCGACCGCCGCCCGCCCGACCGACCGCCCCGCCAGGGGCGTTCCCATAATACGTCCCGTTTTTCAAACGGGCGTATATAAAAAGGAAGTGCAGAGTACTGGTTCTTGTGCACTGCATTTCTTCTTAATGAGATCTATCATTCTATGAAGTTTCAAGTCCATATTTTTTTTAGTTGAAGAGAAATGGCCCGGACAAAATTAAAGTATGAAAATTAACAAAGGGCAATTACTCAAAAAATAAGAACTGCAGAGTACCGGTCATTGTGCACTGCACTTCGGGTTATTGAAAGAAGCATGCATACCAAGTTTGAAGTCAATCAGACTTATAGTGACTGAGTTATGCTCCGGACAAGCTTTAGCGGACGCCGACGCCGACAACGACAACGACGCCGACGCCGCCGTCGCCGACACCGCCGACAAAAGTAACCCCTATATGTCACCTTTTCAAGGCGACACAATAACATGCAATTCAATAAATCATTTCTGTTACAATTTTTCAGTTTCAATTGGGACTTAAAGTTCTTTAAAAACAAGCATTTGATAGTATTGCGGGCAATACAGTAGTCCCCTACCGGTCCCTCAAAAAGTTCTTTAATTGTCATACACTCCTGTGTATTGCCATTTATAATGAATTTGAGGATGAAGTCTGTATTTGAAAATATCGATCACAAAACATAATAAAATAAGTTTGTCTATATCACAGTAATGTGTTAAGTTTCCATGCTTAGTAAGGAAATTATGTTTATACAACCTTGTCATATTATTACGATGTGGGATTTTAAAGTAAATCCTATAAGGAATGAAGAAGTTGGAGTGAAAATACCAGTTTCTCGAAAAAAATCTAAGTTCAAGGGGGACATAATTCTGGAAATAGTCTTGCTAGAGTATTTAACCTTCTCAAAAATGTCGAGTGATAATAAGAAACATATATATGAAGTTTGAAGTAGATACATTAGGAAATAAAGAAGTTATTTAAAAAAGACAACATTTTTTCCCCTAAAAAATCTAAGTTCAAGGGAGGTAATATTGATATTTTTTGTGCTAGAGTTATAAACCTTGTCACATATGAATGGTTGATGACCAGGAACTTATATTTAAAGTTTGAAGTAAACACCTTAAGAAATAAAGAACATATAGTGAAAAAGCTGAAAAATTTAAATCAGAAATCTTGAAATTCAGGCTATTTGTTGCCATAGCAACCAGAATTTTCAACATAGGAAGAAAAGAAAAAGATGTGCATAATCTCCAGACTGCCATCTACCCATATTTCAAGTTTCATAAAAATATTTTCAGTACTTTTTGAGTTATCACTGGATCCAGTTTATGTGTTAAATTTGCCATATTTTCAGACTATTTGTTGCCATAGCAACCAGAATTTTCAACATAGGAAGAAAAAAAAAAGAGGTGCATAATCTCCATACTGCCATCTATCCATATATCAAGTTTCATAAAAATATTTTCAGTACTTTTTGCGTTATCGCGGGATCCAGTTTTGTGGACGGACGGACTGACGGACTGACAGACGGACAGACAGACAGACAGACGGACAGACGGACGGAGGGTAAACCTAAAGTCCCCTCCGGTTAAACCGGTAGGGGACTAATAAGTCAAAATAGGTTTAAGGAAAATAGCACAGGTTCAGAGAAGAAGGAAAACAACACACAAAACGGTCCGATTCAGGGGCAGGTAACTCAAAAACAAGAACAGTGACCCCCAATTTTTTTTCTCTTAAAATGTTATTGTTATCATATTCTAACAACATGCTAAGTTTAATGAAATTCTGTCAGACAGTTTTAATTTTGCCTACTATATGTCTATATGAATATTAGTTCCAAAAAACATAAGTTACGACAGCGAATAGTATAAATAAAGGACAGCTTAGTTGATACTTAAACTCTTTTGCAATAAAGGACCTTTTAAAATAAAGGATAGATGGCTGTTGATAAACACAGTTTTTAATATTCAAAACAATTTACCAGATGAAAATTAGTTTTGACTCACTTTAAGCAATTCCTTAAAAGCTTGTTTGGAGTTTTCCATTTCCCGAATAATTTCGCTAGCAGCTTCATAGTTGTTCACGTACTCACTGTATATATCAATCACCATCCGCTGTGAGAACTGAATTCATCAGATAAAACAGCATTAATCCAAGCAAAACATATACAAATATTCTACCTTGTTACACATAATAAGAAAACATAAATAATGTACCGTCATAATATTCCTATAACATGAAAATCTTGTCATGAAGTTTTTCCTTTGTTTAGAATTCCAATTGTTTCTGAATTTCTGAAATATCTATGTATTTGTAATTGTGCTATCACTTCAGAGAAATTTTAATTCAGGTCTTTTCTTCTACTTAGGAAATACTATAACTAGACAAACAACTACTAACTAGATTAACAGCCTCATGTTGGTGTCCAACTGACAACTGCCGGTTCCATTAGTTCATACTCATTTGAGCCGTGTTACGACAAAACCAACATAATGGGTTTGCTACCAGCATGGATCCAGACCAGCCTGCGCATCTGCGCAGTCTGATCAGGATCCATGCTGTTTGCTATCAGTTTCTCTACTTGTTATACCGTTTGTAAGCGAAAAGCATGGATCCTGATCAGACTGCGTGGATGCGCAGGCTGGTCTGGATCCATGCTGGTCGCAAACGCATTACGTTGGTTTTGTCATGACAAGGCTCATTTATTTTATTTTGATAGTATTGGAAGCTATAAGTTTATAAAACACTTTCGAATCCATTCCTGGAAGCAACCAGTACTAAGCAATGGTTGTAAAGTTCCTTGCTCAAGGAAATAACGGGTTGCCCAAGAAGGGGTTTGAACCCACGCAACCAGTAATCCTTAGATTACTAGTCTGACGCGTTCCATTAGCATAGTGTTTAAATCATATAATTATTTTTTCTCTATGTTATTGTTAAATCAAAAGGCCAAACTGAAAATAAGAATACTTTCTTACTGTTTAAACTTTGTATGACACCTTCTATAAATAAAGATTTTATCATAATTGAATTCCACTGATAAATATTCATAACCATCATGTAGTTTTTGTAAACAGTGTAAACAAGAGAAATACAAGTCAACTGAAGTAAGACTTTAAAAGTTATTTTGGTATGAAAATGGTTTCAACATGATGATTATCTAGTTTCAAACTTGAGAGATTTTTTACCACATGAAATATGCTGCCTATTTTTTCATCAGTGTTCCAATTTTTCAGTTTCTCAGAGAATTCAATCTGAAACATTTTATGTATGGACGCTATCTCTTCCACCTTCTGGAATGTGACCTTCACCTCTGCTTTCTTAACATGTCCCAAAATGGGTTCCCTGTAATCCTAGAAAGACATCGAAAACATAAGTGAACTTTGTAATTCATCAAGCCTTCCTAGTTGGTGTCAAACCCCAGCCATATGGAAAAAATGATTACAGTATTATTCACTATTCAGTGACCGTTATTATTTTGATGAAAAAAGCTTCAAATTTTCAATTTGTTTTTTTAAATCTAGTGCATTAAAAAGAAATTTTTAAGGACTATTAAAGGTTAACATGCTGCATTGTAAAGCTTAAAGATGCCCCTTTAAGTGTATATCAATTTTTTTCCCCATTAAGCCAATTTTAACACATTTTGGTCATATCACAGCAGTCTGGAGTCCACCTAACGGACTTTCCTAGATGACTAAGCAGTAATCACCAGTAATTTCTCTGCAAGTGACTAACTTCTGATCCTACATGATTTCTGAATCAGCTGTGAAAGACATATGAGCCGCGTCACGACAAAACCAACATAATGGGTTTGCGACCAGCATGGATCCAGACCAGCCTGCGCATCCGCGCAGTCTGATCAGGATCCATGCTGTTCGCTATCAGTTTCTCTACTTGTTAAAGAGTATGTAAGCAAACAGCATGGATCCTGATCAGACTGCACGGATGCGCAGGCTGGTCTGGATCCATGCTGGTCGCAAACCCATTATGTTGGTTTTGTCATGGCGCGGCTCATATTACAATTAGACTCAATGTCCTACATCAGTTGCCCTAGAAAAATTTCACTTTGCCAGAGGACAGAACCAATTTGACCCCTGGATTACAAATATGATGCTCTACCTATTGAGTTAAGCTAGGAGACGTATGTATAGAAAAATAAAGTACTTACATTTGTCAGTCTTTCAAGAGATGCTATGTAATTTCTTTCACTGTCAATCAAACTTTGTAAGACTCCCCTTAATTTCACCTGAAATAATAACATGCACGTTTAACATGGTAAAGAAGTTTTTGTGTGTTTGATTGGGTTTTACGTCACACCGACACAGTATAGGTCATTTGGCGACTTTCCAGCTTTACTGGTGGAGAAAGACCTCTTGTGCCCTTCCGTGCATTATTTCAGGCACGAACGGGCACCTGAGTAAAACCACCGACGTTCCGTGAGCTAGCTGGATAGCTTCCTCACATGAAAGAATCCAAAGTCCCTGTCAGGATTCGAACCCATAGTGGTGAGGGGCAAGTAGTTTGAAGTCAACGACCTTAACCACTCGGCCACGGACGCCCCTGGTAAAGAAAATAATCTGTTATATGAAATGATAACATCATGTGTGATGCCATATTTCTATGATCCTATCAAATAAAGACATTAAATTAAGTTAAACATAAGGTAACATGGCGGAGTTGTTAACCCATCGGACTAGTAATCTAATGATCTTGAACCACTAAAGTTCAAACCCCATCAGGGGCAAGTCTTTGTTTCGTTGAGTAAGAAACATTACACTCACTGCTCAGTACTGGTTAGTTCCAAAAATGGATTCCAAAGTGTGTGTCTATAAACTTATAGCTATCTAAAGGATCAAACTCAAATAAATTCTTAAAAAAACATAGCTAAACATATCTTGATAAATGGTGTTCTTCATGAACCATTTTTATCATAGTAGATAAAGAGCCGTGACCTCTGTAGGGCATGAACCCAAGATCACTGGGTTGAGAGGCAGCCAACTTAATCATTAGTCACCTCCCAGTGTCATTGGTCCCCCACTGTGGTCACAGCCATGTTTCATAAAATGACATTGGTGATTTGAAGCTTATTTGTACGCTTATAAACTACTGTACTTATTTGAACCCACGTCTGCTTCCTGCAACTAATGAGTATTGGTTGATATTTGGTGATATAGGTACAATTAAGAAACACATGTAAAAGCCTTCTAGTCTTTTGATACCTGATTCTGGTCGATATTACCGGAACTAGCTGGTAAAGCTGGTGGGGCTCGATGTCGATTCAACCTCACTTTTTCTATGACAGGATGTCCTTCGTCACTTTCCTTCTTTGGATGTCCTGGTAACACTTTGTGAGCCAAATCTTTCAACTGTAAATTAAAGAAAAAGTTTAAGAAATGTGCTTTAAGTAAGCTTATTATGTTATAGCAAATTCTAAATCTCTCTTTAACTAGAACTATCGCTGAATGCGATTCATACCCCCACCAATGTCCTTTACAAAAGACGACTTGGAAAGGTGGTTAAGGGAATAACTTTAGTGGCACAAATACATATACATAAAAAGAAATTATCTCTGGTGAAAAAAAGAATAATTGTACTGGTAATAGTATAAAAATATACTGTTAAATCATGTTCGAAACAGTTACAAATAATCTTTCATTTTCCCAATGTATTATTAACTAAACATTTTCTAAGTCAATTTTTGACCTTCAAGTGTGGCCTTGACCTTAAGCCGGCACAAGGGTAAGATGAGTTCTGCACATTGCCCAGTGAGTTGGGGTGAACATTTGAATAAAGTTTGAAGAAAATCCTTCCATTAGTATAGAATTTATAGAGCGGACACAACATATTGTCTAATATTGATTATATGTAAATTTAGAGACTTAAAAAGGGGCATAACTTTGTTAAAATGCAATACAGAGTTATGAAACTTGACCAGCATATCTTAATTGTGACACTTCATATATATTTTAAGTTTCAAGCAAATACCTTTACTAGTTTCAGAAATATTCAAATACATGTTAAAATTTAAGAACATTTTCTAAGTCAATTTTTGACCTTCAAGTGTGACCTTGACCTTTAGCCGGCACAAAAGTAACATGGATTCTGCACATAACCTTGTTGAGGTGAACATTTGAGTAAAGTTTGAAGAAAATTCTTCCATTGGCATAGGATTTATAGAGCGGACACGACATATTGTCTAATATTTGATTGTATGTAAATTTGAAGTCTTAAAAAGGGGCATAACTTTATTAAAATGCAATACAGACTTATGAAACTTGACCAGCATATCTTAATTGTGACACTTCATATATATTTTAAGTTTCAAGCAAATACCTTTACTAGTTTCAGAAATATTCAAATACATATTAAAAATTAAGAATATTTTCTAAGTCAATTTTTTACCTTCAAGTGTGACCTTGACCTTAAGCCGGCAAAAGGGTGACATGGGTTCTGCACATCCCCTTGTTAAGGTGAACATTTGAGACAAGATTGAAGAAAATATTTCAATTAGTGTAGGACTTGCAGAGCGGACACGACATACTGTCTAATATTTGACTGTTTGATTTTTGACCTTCAATTGTGACCTTGACCTTCAGCTGACACATGGGCAACATGGGTTCTGCACATACCCTTGTTGAGGTGAACATTTGAGCCAAGTTTGAAGAAAATCTTTCAATTAGTGTAGGACTTACAGAGCGGACACGACATACTGTCTAATATTTGATTGTTTGACATTTGACCTTCAATTGTGACCCTGACCTAGGGCTGACACATGGGCATGGGTTCTGCACATCCCCTTGTTGAGGTAAACATTTGAGCCAAGTTTGAAGAAAATCTTTCAATTGGTATAGGATTTATAGAGCAGACACGAAAATGGAGACGGACGAACCGACTGACCAACCGACCAACTGACAGACGCAACAAAGCGAATCCCTTATAGACCCCCCCCCCCCATATTTTGTGGTGGGGGTATAAATATCTGTTTCTTAAATCCAGTGTTCAAGTGTGAGCATATAGTGAATAAGTTCCTTATATCAAAAGTTTTTATATACAACCAAGTGTCATTTAAATCAAACTAAATTGTTTACCATCGTCCTTCTTTTTGAAGAGTATTTTGATCAAAAAATAAAGTTTGTGATTGATATCTCCCTTATTATTCATTATAATTATAAACTGAAATAATTTGAAGGTTAAATATAACTATCTAAAATGAAGTGTCATTTCTTTGAAATATTCCTTTCCTACTTAATAAATAATTATGTAAGTTTGTTTTAGTAACAATATTTTGATAATGAATATCAGTCTTTTATTTCACAATTTATTGGTCATTAATTATGGCATGTTTTCTGTTGAAAACATTCACACCTTCCCTTCTGCAGTTTTGGAGATACTAACATGCACACAAAAACTAACCATTAAGAATGACACCAATGCCATTACCTGGGTGAGTACAACAGCTCTCCCTATTTTTCAAATAGTCAAGCTAAAAATGGAAATATCTGTTTAACATAATTATTGTCACCTTAATACAGTAATGGGTTAACTGCTATTATATTAAATAGGAGTTAACCTGTTTTTGCACTGAGGAGACGATAATTGAGCCGTGTCATGACAAAACCAACATAATGGGTTTGCAACCAGCATGGATCCAGACAAGCCTGCGCATCCGTGCAGTTTGATCAGGATCCATGCTGTTTGCTATCAGCTTCTCTACTTGTAATAGGGTTTGTAAGCATGGATCCTGATCAGACAGCGCGGATGCGCAGGCTGGTCTGGATCCATGCTGGTCGCAAGCATTACGTTGGTTTTGTCATGGCGCGGCTCAATTATGTGAACATATGTTATGGTTTAGCATTAATAACCTGGTGGTCTTTTTTTGGTTTAGGAGGAAGAGGCTTATCCGGGGAAAAGATTTCTGTGTCATCGTCCGAATTCGAGAAACTATCAAATGTAGAATCTGTAAAACAGCTGCTGCCGGAACCAGAGTCGTCACTATCCATGGTAAATGGGTTAAAGTGGCCCATCGCCTCGTTCTCAGCCTCAGGTATAGCTGGCAAATATAAAATACATACACACTGTAAAACTCACAAATCATATGGCATGAAGTTTTTTTGTAGTTTCCAATTTTGGAAGTGTCAGAGTCCATTATCAGGTTAGGTGATACCAAGATGGTCAGCCAACAGTTAGCCTGGTCTGAGACTAGGGTTGGATACCGATAACCGGTACTTAGACCGTACCGAAGACCGTTTCATAATTTACCGGTACATACCTAGGGTTGGATACCGACAACCAGTACTTAGAACGTACCGAAGACCGTTTCATAATTTACCGGTACATACCGTTTCAAAAAGTACCGGTATTTTTAACGGTATTTTCAAAATTAAAAGCAAAGAACATTTACAAAAAAAAACAAAGGAAAATGAATAAAATTAACGTTTATTTACATCAATAATATCACAAAAAGAATGCGAAATATGTCCGTAGTGCAAGTCAAGGGAGATCACTACCGAGTGCACGTGGTAGCAGCGATATTCGTATTTACAAAAACCATTATATTAACATGCTGCATAAATTCAAATACTTGATACAGCATTTGTTGATCACTTTTTGATGTATTACTCGGTTTTTATTCCCAAAATTTATTGTTACTTGCTATTAAACATTTCTGCAATATTCATTAAAATATTCGAATTTTATACATGTTGTTGCTGATGTCAACAATATTATGGTGGGGTCTCGATCAAAGAAGGAGGTGGTGTTTGCATTTATTGCCAATTGTTTTGCCTTGGGAAAGGTGAAAATACCAGTAATTTAATAAAACACCTGAGACTGAAACACAATTTACAACAACTGAAAACTTTTTTTTCTTATTTGACCCCTTAAACCCGGACTGTCAAGGAATATAGAATAATATTAAGCATTTCCAAAAAACTTGAATGAAATTTTTAAATTTCTTTATAAAAAAAATTTAAACAAAATCCCTATAGCAAAAATGAATACATAAAAAATAGGCCGCTCAAAATACCTTAAAGTATGGTTGGGTATGTAAAATTTACCGTTCGTTTCACGAGTTCGGTATCGTATGTATCGTTTCATTTTTAAAATTTATCCCCTATAACTGGAAACCCAAAAAAGTTTGGGTAGCGCTTTCGGATACTAGGGTGGCAAAGGCAAACCTTTAGTCAAGCTTTTCGGGGATAAAGGATGAAATGTTAAAAGATTTCTGGCTAAAATGAAATTTAAAATTATTTTCCTACATGAAAGGACTTTAAATATTTTTCACAAAACTAGAATGAAAACTGATTACTTATTTTAACATAATGATACTGAAATCTCTTAACCATTAATCTGTCCTAACAACAGTTGATATTTCAAAAATTTCAAAATTTAAATTTACACAAATAATGCATATTGTGCTCAAAACCATCAAATAAGTTCTTTTTGCAGGATATCAATAATTCTACGGAATTTTGAAATAACTAATAAGCAACAAACCTCCTTTGTGAGGATCATCAAAGTGATGATGTTGTGTAAAAGGGTTTCCCTCTTTATCTGAAAATAGAAACGTTATATTGATTAAAATGACAGAAACAGTTAAAGATCTCCGCTGAGGTCCACAAGCATAAAAACATAAAATTTGGAATTCTAACAAAGATCAACTGGGACACTTTAAACGGTTTTAATATGTAAAAGAATACACAAAAAAATAATATGCAATCAAATATCCAAATTTAAAAATGTTTAAACCCTTTCATTTTAGGGTCATTTTGCACAAAGCAAACATTATTCTAAAAACAATGGGTAAAGGGAAAAGATTTTTAAAAAAGTTTAACCACAAGTTACTGGATCAAAAAAGTTACAAATTTTATACCCAAATCTGTTATGTAAAATTACCTTGTCGAGTCCCCTTTAAAACTTCTCATTTAAGATCCAAAAACTGTTAAAAGTACCCGTTTATCTGATGTATTTGAATTTTAGGCCGTTACCATTTCCCAGTGAGGCGACTTACCTGAGGGGTGACTTTATTACAGCATGTTTCACCCCAAGTTCTGAGATAAAGGAAAAACTGAAAAAATTTTTAATTTCTTTTTTTCATTTTTTATGTTTGGTCACGTTCAAGTATAGATGGGATAAAGCTAGGGACATTTTGCTCTGACAAAAAAATTTAATACTTTAGGGCAAACTGAATTTTTTTAAATTAAACCCCCGGGTTTCACAAAACTTTTGTGAAAAAAGGCTGTTTTATTTGAAAAAACCCCTGTCCATTGAGATTATTCCCGGGATGGGTCAGTGATAAAAAAAAGTTTACACATTCGTTAGCCATACTCAGGATGGGCTAATAATTAATGTATTTTCAGTTATTAAATGTAAATAAATTAAAAAGTAAAAAAAAAATACAGTGCATGATTGGTACAAAGTAAAATATTTTTCTCAAAGTATAAATTCAAGTAAAACCCTTTAATACAAAACTGTTAAAATTTAAAAAAATAATGTTTTGATGGTAACAATTGGTTACAAAAACTTTTTTATTATTTTATAATAAAAACAAAGCATCACTTGTACTTCTGAAATGGTGTCAAATATTCATGATCATGCATCATTATTATATCATAATGTTACCCAGGTGTCTACAATTATATGTGTTGTTATATTATAGTGATAATATTATATTTACTTTTAAAGCAGCATTATAGACTAGACTATTGTCTAATGTTGATTTGTATATGAACATTTTTAAGTTGTTCTTAGATAAGTTAAAATGTTGTATACTTGAGTAACTTTAGTGCTTTAATCCATGTTAACCCATTTATATTATAATCTATTCCATAGCCATTACTTATAATAAAGCTCAAAATATGTCAAAAATTTGCAAAATTTCTTTCCCTTTGTTAGTATTTGCTGATCATTTATTTTTTACGACACACCAACACAATATAGGTCACATTGTGCCGGAACAGGAAAGATGATTTTTGCTAACCAGTTGGGTGTTGCATGTGCAAACTTAAAATAACACCAGAGACTTTGAATATATAGAATATATAGAAACAATTTTTAGCTATAATTATATAGTACAATGTACACTATTCAAAAAGTTAAGGTGAGCGGAGGCTCAGTGGTTAAGGTGTCTGCCTCTCAACCCAGAGATCATGGGTTTGAGCCATTCTCGGGTCATAACCATGTTTCTTCATATGACACCAGTGCTGGTTGGTTCCAGGAAGCGGACTCGAAAGTGATTAATATAAGTTGCAAGAACTTGTTTCGCAATCAAGCTTAAGTAAATATGTTTAAACCAACTTCAAAAATGACTCTTTTTTTCTACCACATTTTATGTCATAGGATTTATTTGTTAGTGTTTATTATCAAAACAGCATTCATACTGACTTGTATTTACAAACATATTTCCTTCATTATCTTTGACATTTTCATTGCACATTGTTATATTATCACACATAATCCTGTCTGCTGTATGAAGCTGCATATTTAACCAAGATTTAAGCTAGTGAAAGTGACATTATGCTCATGTTTTTACTGTCAAGTTGAGCTAAATTAGTAATATATTTCAAAATAATGAAAAGTGCCAATGATAAGTATAACAAGAGCCACTGCCAGGCCAGGGTAACACTCAACTTTTTTACTTTTTCTAACAGCAAGCAAATAAACAGTTTAAAAAAATCTTTAAAAAGAAAATTCAAGTTTTTATTTTTTTATTTTAATAGGTCTGTCTAGTCAAACAAATATAATCAAAATTCAATCATTTGATGGTCAAAGTTATTTAAAGGTCAAGGTCATATCTTAGTTATTCCATATGTCTGTTTGGTCACAATTAAGTTTTGTTTTGTCCATGTATCAATCAAATCCCTACATAAATAACAAAATTATGACAATTAACAAAAATTCAATACTTTGACCTTGACAATCAAGGTCATTTAAAGCTCAAGGTCAAGTCAACCTTTTAGAAGGTCTTGTCCAAAAGGTTTTGTCCAAGTATTAAAATAATATATTGATTTAATTAATTTACCAAGTTACAGTCATTTTTGCTGATAATCAGTGAAAATTAAATAGTTTGACCTTCAATGTCAAGGTCATGAGTCAAGGTCAATTTAAGTTTGATATACATGAAAGTCCTGACCTAACAGATGTTGTGTCTTAATATGAAGTTAATCCATTCATAAATAACAAAGTTATAACCAGTTATAAAAAAATAAAAAATAAACCAACAAGATAATTTCATAAATTTGACCTTGACAGTCAAGATCAATTTCAAAGGTCAAGGACATATCTAAATTATTAAATATGTTAATTGGTAGCCAGTCTTGTTTTGTCCAAGTATAAATCAAATCCTTACAAAAATAACAAAATTATGACAATTTAACCAAATTTTCAATAATTTGACCTTGAAGGTCAAGGTCATTTCATCTTAAGGTCAAGGTCAGTTCAACCTAAAAAAAAAACTACTTAAATAATAATAAGACTGCCCCACTCATTTTTAAAATTGAATGATACTTATATGTGATCTTAAATTATAATAATACAGTTTTTAATTTTTCAATTTTCAATACCTATAATGATATTGAAAAAGTTGCATACCCGAAACTTAAGTAGGTTTTTAATAAACATGCTAACTTATTCCAAGGTTATCATGACTGTTCCTGTCATATTAGTTACTGCAGATATTAAAGTTATTTCATTCTTATATAACAAAACATTTTCTTTGTAAACTAGAAATGTGTCTCCACATTCCATTGTTTTGTAAGTTTATGGATAAGACAGTATAATACTATACTGGGGCATAACTTTCATAACCTTTCAAAAATGTCAAAATGCAATTAAGGGTTGTGAAAACTTATAATTTTACCATACTCCAAACTATCTATGTTTTTTATAGAATGATATTCACCTTTTTGTCAAATCTAACATATCAAGGTAATTTTGTATTGAAATTATAATACCGTAAAATTCCTATTAAATGCCTAAATCAGGCAGGAAAAAATCATCTCCATAATTTTATACAATTATACTTCAGTCAATCCCATTTTATTTTAAAGTAAACAAAATAATGTATCATATTACCTTTTAAACTTTAACACTATTTTACAATATTACAAAATCTTGTTTATAACACCAAACATATTTACAATGATTTTTCACAGACACTTGGGGTTTGGAGCTCAAAACGCCTTTAAAATCCAAATAAAATGCATATATTTGTCAATCCCAGGACATGTACTGATCATATATATCAAAAAAACTTAATATAAGCCATTTTGAAAAAAAATCATATTTCAACAACTATAGTATTATTATAGTTGTTGAAATATGATTTTTTTTCAAAACGGCTTATATTAAGTTTTTTTGATATATATGATCAGAACATGTCCTGGGATTGACAAATATGCATTTTATTTGGATTTTAAAGGCGTTTTGAGCTCCAAACCCCAAGTGTCTGTGTGATTTTTTGATTTAGGAAAAACTGTGTTTTAATAAACGCATCCCCCCCCCCCCCCCTAATTTGGAAAATGTTACACCCCCCACGGACATTTAACAGGAATTTTACAATACATTAAATTTTCTTTTATCTCCTTTAATTTCCCAATTTTCTTATTAAAAAAAAACAACATGTATTCATATAGCTAGGCATTTGAAAAAAAAAATAGTGACATTGATAAGCAACTCTCATTAAATTGACAAATATACCTGTAAAATGTACCTCCAATCCATACTATGTTATAAATAATTCAAACTTTGAAACATAAATTCAAACACAATTTGATCAATTTTTAAACATCTCAATATTTGCCAATTTTTTTACCTACCTACTCTTTGTGTATTAAACATAAAATGTATTGATATATGTTACTGTATACAATACGGTACCTTTATTATTATCATATGAAACTCTCCTGTAAATCTTCATGCTTAAACTTCCTTACGTGGTATAATACTCTGTCACTCAGAAAATTTATATATTGATCTCATCAAAAACAACAACAACAACAATCATCCTGCACATAATATAACTTCAACTATAGCCTATAACTATAGATCCCTTCAGTCCATTGTTATTTTCTTCTCTTTTGTTATCAAAACACCAAAAACATACGCAACACTGTATTATAACATTAACTACAGCCTATTTAAGTTCTATATCCCCAGTTGTTCTATTAATTCGACCTATTAGATTGGCCGATCTGAGAGCCAGAGCCTATATGTATTTACATTGTGTAATGTAAAGTCCTGCAGTATGATTTATCATAAATTACCTTCAACTTTGTTAATATATTTCATATATACAAAGTCATGTCTATGACTTCAAATTTGCATTATTTTTTAATCACTATGTAATGTATGATAAATTTCTATGCCATTCTAAGTTTGCCCCAGTACATTAAATCATTCCTAATTTAACTCAATAACAGTTTTGCTAAATTAACTGTGCACTTTTGTTTACATGTAAATCAATTTGAACAAATTAAATAATGGTGAATGACATAATTTTGCTGAAGTAATAATATCCGTTTCAGTAGTGTTTTATATATCGGCTATAATGATAGTAAGACCAGTTTCAGGTTTTGATGCGTAGGAATTGACCACGAAGGTCTTATGTTATGTTACAAATGAGCCGTGTCATGACAAAACTAACATAATGGGTTTGCGACCAGCATGGATCTAGACCAGCCTGCGCCTCCGCGCAGTCTGATCAGGATCCATGCTGTTCGCTATCAGTTTCTCTACTTGTAATAGGGTTTGTAAGCGAACAGCATGGATCCTGATCAGACTGCGCGGATGCTCAGGCTGGTCTAGATCCATGCTTGTCGCAAACACACTATGTTGGTTTTGTTGTGACGCGGCTCAAATATCATTTCTATCAACAGATAAGAATAAAACCTGTTGCATTATTGTATGCGAGTTGTTACATAAGCATCAATTCATGTGAAAAGATAACATAGTAAGGATGGAAAATATCAATAAAAGTGCACCGTGATGCTGCTAAATCATCTTTTTCATCTGAAATAATCACTACCATCATCATCAACATCATCATCATCTTCATCATCTCCATCATCATCATCTTAACTATCATCATCATCATCATCATCATCATCATCATCATCATCACCATCATCTCCATCATCATCTTAACTATCATCATCATCATCATCATCATCATCTTCATCATCTCCATCACCATCATCTCCATCATCATCTTAACTATCATCATCATCAACATCATCATCATCTTCATCAACATCATCATCATCTTAACTATCATCATCATCATCATCATTACCATCATCATCATCATCTTAACTATCATCATCATCATCATCATTAGGAAAACAATTTAATCATTAACCATCATTTATATATTACATTTGTTTTTCTGAATAAAAAATCATCAACAACAACACCATTAAAACACAACAAAATTATTTATAATGCATCGAATAACAAATGCAGTTTTTAATCATGAAAGTAGCATGTGCTTTTATTCATAACTGGTATCAAAAGATTATATCTGACATGATTATACACATTAAATGTAACCATGACGCTGCATAATAATAAATATACATGTCATGCTACAACTGATATGATACGCAAGTTGAAATGAGTGAGTTGCTATATAATGAGTGAATGTGTAGCCAAGTTCACTGCTCAAGTGGGAGTCCTGAGAGAGAGTGAGCAGTCTGAGTCAGTCAGTCAGTCAATGAATCTTTCAGGCAGTTGGTCAGTCAGTGAATCGGTCAGTCAGTGAATCGTTCAGTCAGTGAATAAGTCAGTCTGTGAATTGGTCAGTCAGTGAATCGGTGAGTCTTTGAATCGGTCAGTAGATGAATTGGTGAGTCTGTGAATCGGTCAGTCAGTGAATATGTCAGTCGGTGAATCGGTCAGTCTGTGAATATTCAGTCAGTGAATCTGTCAGTCAGTGAATTGGTCAGTCAGTGAATCGGTAAGTCAGTGAATTGGTCAGTCAGTGAATTGGTCAGTCAGTGAATTGGTCAGTCAGTGAATTGGTCAGTCAGTGAATCGGTCAGTGTGTCAGTCAGTAAATCAGGCAGTCAGTCTAATAATCAGCCAGTCATGTCAGTCAGTGAATTGGTCAATCAGCATAACAGTATTAAGTCAGTCAGTGAGTCACTCAGTCAGATAAAAAATGCCTTCAGGATATTCAAATCAAAAATATCTATTAAACAAGCAATTTTTTATCAGTCTAATAAGTATAACACTTGTAACAGGAAAATGTCCTTCAAACATATAATGAAAATACAATGTAGGCATTTAACTTAAGAGGAGATAAAACAAGGTCAATAATTGTTCATTTCCATTGGCTATCTTAAGACAATACATCTATAAAATTCATAGGAAACTTTCTTACTGGGAAGCGGAAGTTTTCAACATACAAACTACTCGTTAAAAGAATGTCACTTTAACAAAGTGCCCCCTTGAAACACTACAATCAGCAAGATTTGTGAAGTTTTGATATTATACAGTCATGTATCTTCCCACTCTTATTTTTGGCCACTTAAACAAAATATTGTACATGTAGGACCATTTATACTATGGCATCAAATAATGTATTACATTTTATATCATATGAAAGTAGTTAAAGGGACACCACATGATGGGACTGGACATATTTTCTACATTTGTGTAACATTTCATAAAGGTCTTGACCTATAACTTTTGTGTAAAATTTCAGGTCAGCTACTTACAGAGTAGGAAAACATAAGCATATTTGCCATTGACCCATGGTGACATTGGAAAAGGCATGGGTTTCTATAGAATATTGCCCTGATCCTTATAAGCATAAAGATAAAACAAGAACGTGTTTGTTAAACACAAATGCCCCCGGCTCAGATTCTTGTCAGTAACAATATTTTTAAAAAATCTATTTATGACATTGGTGACCTTGACCCAAATGGCCCCTTACTAAAGGAAAAGGAACAGGACCTCCCTTGGTATGACTATTATAAACATGACAGACATTAACTTAAAAATAGAGGCTGTATGAGCAGAAATGTTAAGATTTATCTTTTTACACAAGTGACCTTGAACTAATGACGCCTAACGCCACAAAAAATTAGAGGACCGTTAAAGGTATCCACCTACCAAATATGAAAGATATCATTTTTTTATAAATCCAACTTTTAGAGTAGGTTAACCATACAAGGCCCTATTTTCAAAGTGATGAAAAGGGAAATTACTGGGAAAATGGATGGCACATTTATATAACTTGGCATTATCATGTACATTGTATTGATAAGTAAGTGTGAAAATTATTAAGCCATTAGTTCAGATAGAACATAAGATATTTCCAACTTGCCGGTTTTAGGTTAACCATTATTCATTTTCTAAGTGCTGAAAAGGGCCATAACTTGGTGCAAATGGAAGCCATAGTTATGTAACTTGCCCAAATCATATACTTTGTATGGATTAGTAAGTGTGTAAATTATGAAGCCATTGGTACAGATAGAACTTAAGAAAAATCCAACTTGCCGTTCTAAGTTAACCTCGTACGGACAGACGGACGGAGAGACGTACGGACGGTTCAATTACTATATGCCCGGGGGGATAAAAAGATAATTGAAGTGATGAATAAATTATTTTATAAAGTAAAATTATTTACCTTTTTTTGATGGTCTCTTCAATGCCTGTGATTTTTTCTTTGCAACCTGACGTTTCCACTCGTACTGCACATCTTCAGAAAGCTGTTTCATTTTCTTCCTTTCTGCAGTTCTTCCATGGCTTGACTTCATCTTTTTTGGAACTGCACTCGTGTTAGGCTGAGGTTTAGAAATGGCTACATGTTCATGATTAATAACTTCAAAATCACCACTGATAGGACGATTTCTGTTGTCTAATGAGTTATGAACGGAATCATATAAATTGTCTTCTTCAACGTTTTCAAAGTTATTTTCGAACACATTTTCAACATTCTCTGCTTGTGCTGTAGTATCAGGCATAGAATGTGACTTTACTGGAGAGTGTCTCTGAAAGTCTGGAATAAGATGGGCATCAGAAGATTCACCCTCGTGCAAAATTAACGCTTGATCATCAATATTTGTATCACAGGATTTAACTGATTTAACGACAGTTTGTTCATTTTTACCACATTTATTGGGATGACTATAACCAACACTGTCTATAAATGAACCATCAGGATTATGACCTCCTACATGAGCAATTTGACCTTGACCTTCAAAAGTATGACCTTGACCTTCAAAAGTATGACCTTGACCTTCAAAAGTTGGTATTTCTGTGAAACCACTTGACTCAGATGTTTTGTCTGGAAATGGTTGAGCAAATGAATATACTGATGAAAAATTTCCATCATCAGGATGTTTGACATTAAATGCCCTTTTATTAGTGTCACTGCTCATATTATTTGTTGGCAGATTAAGATTTGGTAGATTAAGCTTATGTATCTTTTGAAGAACCATATTGGCATCACTTGTAGATGAATCACTTGTATTATCAGAACCCTGTCTCATGAATTTACTTGCAAGCTGTGAGACTCGCCCCTGGCCTGCATTTACTTTACCAGCACCTCTTACATTGTAATCTGACGATGTGTTGTTTTCATTAACTGTACCTGATGACTTTTGGTACACTGTTATCATACCATTAAAATCTGATACATTTTCTGGTCCAGTATGCTGTCCTTCAGTGTCTCTTCTAGTTAATATTTGTTCAGAATCTTTACCCTCTAAACCTGAGTCCTCTGATGGAGCAACAGGACTGTCAATAGCATCCATCTTCTGCTCACTTTTCTTTTCATTAGCCTTGGCTCCAGTTGATATTGCATCAAAATAAATGTCATCTTCAACATCAGACATTGTTGTTTATTTTGTAAGACTGAGACCAGAAAACATTTGTACTACTTGTGTAACAAAAAACTCTTTAAGTATATATGCTCCTCATTCCATACCAATGTCATCAACTGGATTTATCCTGTAAAAAAATAACAATGGCATATAAAACAAGTTCTTTTTTTAATTCTCATGTGGTAACTCAGATAAGCCACATACCCTCTATTTCCTTAATCTCACACAAAACTTCCCTTAAAACTTCAAAATTTCCATCTTAAGTGTGTAATATATCATCTCCTGCAATAATCTATTGTTTTGATTTTTTTAAATATATTTGTATGAAAGAAATAGGTTTCAAATAATTGAGCTAAAAATCAACAGAATGTGAAGTTAATTTACATATGGTTCATTAAGTAATTTTTGTTATTTGTTACTGTATTTTTTAATGTTTAACAGGAAATGGCTATATAGTCCAAGTGTAAATTATTATTTAAAAGGAAATCAAACAAAAAAACAAAGATTTCTATACCTATCAGTGAAATTATCAGTGCCATTTCTACTCAAGTTGGACAACACAATGTATCATTATCAACAGGGTTATAATTATTCCGATAACGGAAAGTTAAATCAGTGTTCCAACCCATATAGAAGTGATTTTGAAACTGTTTGGTGATGAAAAATTCTTCACTTTTATAAATTTGATTTATGCTATGTCTTTCTGATACAATCTCTTTAGACATTGAAATAAGCATTGATAATACAAATGAAAGATGTCACAATGATAAATATAAAATGTTGAATAACTTTTTCCACGGCTATTTATTTGGACTAACAGGTCTGGTTATTTGCCAATGACACTGCTATTTATATAGCTGTCAATAACAATTCCCAAGAAAAGATCTCACAACAAGACCTTGACAGGTTACAGCTAAGGAAAAGCAAATGGGCCATGGAGTTCAACCCCTTTAAGTGTACGCAGAGACATAGATATCTATGTCTCTGGTGTACGGTGCTAAATATCACCAAGTCAAAACACCCATTCAAGACAGTATATTCACTCTATGGCCAAGTCCTAAAAAATGTCAAAGACGCAATGTACCTGGGTGTCACTTCCTCCTCTGATCTAAATTGGAACAAACATGTCAGTCAGGTTTCTTCTAAGGCTAGTAAAACTCTAAACTTTCTTAAAAGAAATATCCCTTCTAAAAATTCATGTCTAAGGGAATTTGCATAAAAATTGCTGGTTAGACCCAAGCTTGAATATCCCAGTTCTGTCTGGTGTCCTTACACTCAGCAGAACATCCACAAAGTTGAAATGGTCCAGCGCAGAGGATATTAAATCTACATACAGCAGTGTCTCCCTTATGTTAGAGAATAAGTTAGGTTGGCGTTCCCTGGAAAATAGCAGAACTGATGCAAGACTCCTTATGTTTTACAAGATTGTGCATGGACTGGTTGCAGTGCCCATACCCCTGTATGTTCAGCCCTCCCTCTGTCTCACCCAACACTCACACCCTCTTCCTTTCAGGCAGATTCCCACTCCATGTAACTACTACAAATATTCTTTTTTTCCAGCAACTATAGTCCTTAGTCAAAATATATTGACGTGCCAAAGCTTGATTCTGAGATATTTTCATTCTGGGGCAGAATCTCGCTTTTTAAATAGCACAATATCTCGTCGCGCAGTACAATTAGTTGGACTACTATAGTCCTCTGGAACTCACTGCCATCTGAACTTTATTTTACCACCAAAGGCTGTGTATGCAACTTAATTTTAGTTTACATTCTTTGGTACCCTTTATGTGCATTTGATTTATCTTTTTCATGCAGCTTCAGTTCTATCATAAATTTTATGTTATTGTAGGTTAATAGCTTATTAGCTAATGCTTCTTGTAATATGTAAACAGACTTAAAAAAAAAGTTTCTTGTATCTTGCGCAGGTCCCTACCCTGGACCAGTTTAAACAGGGAGTGACCACTCTTCACCGCTGTGTTTGAAATGAAAATATTGTTTTTATCTGTTTTAGCTGTATACTTTCTCCACTAACAAAGTTCTATGCTCCTGCGTTTATGAATAAATTATGCAAATGAGCCGCCATGTTGGTGTTTCGATAAGCGTGTTGGGAATTGCTACCTGTTCGTTTTGAAAGCTCGTCCTAACTTACAATTTCCTTGAATGTATGAAAACTTGGTTTTGTTTGATTGCATATTGAATGATAGGTATTGCAAAATAAATATAATGAAAATCGATCAATAAATAATTGTATACGAGCGTTATAAAGTCAATTTAATTCGTCAGAATAATAAGGTTTTGTTGCAGGGTATCGGTAAAAGACTGCTTTTTTTCCCCGTTTTTGAAATTTATTTGAACACGGAGACAATTTTTCTCAAACAGATTTATGAATATACTTTACGTTGCAACAGAGTTTACCGTGTGTCCATTCCTTATTTAAATTGTCTGAGAAGTTAAATCTGTTTGTTTACATGTAAATGTGTACCTTCATTTTGACCGAGTGGAATAAAAACTACCATGACGGTGATAATACCGGATATGTAATGAAAATTACGCTGTGTAGTGCAAAGTTTTGGACATTGCAATTAAAATTAACACTTACGTTGACTCAAACTGTTCCTTGTCAGCAAAATTGAAACCGAAAGTAGAGGTTGTTCTAGAATTTAATCGAATAAAATGGATGGGATTTAACCACCGCGCATGCCCTGTGCGAACGTATTGTTTACATCCGGTCGTAGCATAGGGTAAGAGTGCAAACTTTGTTAGTGTTCTCTTCACCTTTTTATTTCAACTCTCACAAATACAAATACAGTATTAGATGGATAGAGGATGGATGGATGGATGGACAATTTGTTGTTTTCAAGTAGATTTTAAGGTATTACTTACACAAAGTACCCGTCACTGGCATTTATATTTATGAAACAGTTAATATGATAAAATTAAAAATGTGCCAGAACATTGTTCATTAGCTACTGATCCAAGTAGAAATATTGTTCACAGATCCACTCTATGGCTATGACAACACCCCTTAGGGGTTATCAATTTATTCCCAAATTGATCCCTACCATTTTATATTAAGTCTTATTCGTAACACTTCGAAAATACTTACAAAATGGTAGCAACACAAACCAGGAAGTTTCTTTGATCCTCCATTTTGTAGATCACGTGACAATCAGGACACAAACATGTTTTCTGTCCGTTACCTACCGTACCGTTTGAGGTTGTATGCTACTAAATTATGTTGTATCATAGATTGGGGACCTTTCTGTTGAAAATGCGCCAGAGTTAAATCGTATACATATACATGCACAGTGTGTTAACTGAAGTGCAGGTATTAGTTACCCGCACTCCTGAGCACGCCCATTGATTGGTTCATTTTTGCTGGGGTTTACTAATTGTGACGGCAGAGAAGCGAAACGCTACAGAAATATGATATTCAGATGCTCGTTCATTGGTTACTTTTTTTCTGGGGTTTCATATTGTGAAACAAGGGACGTGTTTTTATGTTTGACTATGATACAAACGAGAAAGAACACCAAAACACTCGGCAATCTGATTTATACTCGGGGGGCTACGCCCCTCGTACAAATCAGATAGCCTCGTGTTTCGGTGCTCTTTCTATTACTTATTTAGACGTCATATTTTTTTCCCAATTTGGTTTAAGGTGACAATTTTAGTCAACCATATGTATCAAAAATATTTTTCATCATTGTCAATTATTGATCATTCACGATTATAATAGTCAATCTTTTGGGTTAAATTACTTCTTCAACTCAACTTGACAGCAAAAAAAATGATCATAATGTCAAATTGAATAAAGGTAAATTATGTGTAGAAGGCAGTATCATTTCTAATATAAACACCGTTGGCAATCAACAAAAATTAACGTTCGAAACAGCCACCAAAGTAAGAATATCCACGGAACTATATTCTGTTACATAAGTATTTGACATTGCAAGCACTTTGATCCTTATCTCCATTTTTTTTTATTTTAGGTCAAATTTAATTAAGTTATATACAGTAATTTTATCTAAAACACTATACAGAACTTTTGTCTAGCGGAAGTCTTAACACAATATATATATAAGTAATATGATATGATAAATATCAAGATGGTAGACTCTGGTATCTAAGATGATAGCCTCACAAAGGCCGTCAAATTGTAGACACAAAGTCCACGCCCGTATGTGCATACCTTTGGCCATGTAAATAATCGGAAGAGTTCAGCTACTGTATTCTTTTTAGGTAAGAAAAGAGCCCTTCAATTGAATTAAAATGTCAATATAGTACTTACATGTAAGTCATATTTACTGATAGAACGTACAAGTCAGTGCATCTGAGTAGTTCAAATGATTATAAATTTCTCCCTCTACTGCAATACAATTATATATACTAATTACAACATATATAATTTTCTAAATTTCAGAAGAATGTGTTCCAAATGAAACCTGGTTTCCTTTTTTAGCCGACTATTTATCGCGGTTCATAGCAAACAGTTTTTACGGGTCGTACAGACTGTGATACAGTAGACTGTATAAAGATGGGGTCATGCAGACATTTTCAGCGATAATATTCAGTGTATAGCCAGATTTTGTCTATAAAGCATTTAAAATAATCGTTTTCAAGGAAAGGATTTATATTATACATGTATTTTCAGGGCTTTTAATTCTTTTTCATAGCAGGGACCATTTGCAAAAAAAGTCTCTTCCCTTCTGAAAAATTCTTTGAATTCATACAGTTTTCCCCCGAAAAACACTTTATATTTTTTTTCTTCACGTTTTGCAAAAATAAATAAATAAATACATAAATTTAATCATAAATATTATAACCACGTTATCCCCCCTACCACAAATTCATGGGAAGAACCATTACCCTTGTCTGTGAAACATATTTGAAATTTTCTGGAAAACGTGTGTCATAAAATGTACACCCGAAAATGCACCAGAATCCATCATTTGGTATTCAAAGAAAGATTAGCATTTGAAGACTGTTGAAGACTAAAGTCCTGTGAAAATGTAGAAACTTGAATTAAAAATAGTGTACGGGAAATACATTAGAAAGCTCCGTTGTATGTTTGTTGTTGCTGTTTGTTGTTGTTGTTTTTTGTGTGTTTTTTTCTTCTTCAGTGAACGACTAAAATTTAAAACACCTTGTTTTTTTTTAAATATGCACTTAGAATTAACCAGAAGTCACCACTTAAAAGCATGCAGATTTCATTTTTTCCATGGGGAGAACCAGTAAGGAGGGGTTACTTTGGTTTTTCGAATTTAAGCACCTTAGCCGTAAATATGGATCACTGCCTATAGGGTAACACCTGTCTCCGGATAGATGGATATTCATTATGACCAATGAACGAACAGACTTGTCAGTTTTAACTCAGATATTTTAATATCTAAAGATATAGATATTTTTAAGGATGACTGTAATCAGTGTAATGTACGTTTTTGCTCTTATTGACGTGAATACTGTTGACGTTTCAAGTAATCTGGGTATGAAAAGTGTAGAATCTAGTCCAAGATAGGTTTAATCTAGGACATAGATCTACAATATTTTATGACCGAAAATAGTGTTAATATTTAGCAGTGTTCAACCTTCATTTCGTACATGTTCGACAACTCGAGGAAAAAAAAGATTTATTAATGTTTAACGAGGTTATGTGCAAGTAATTTTACCATTTTAAAGTCATGTAGTGTAGCCTAGATAATGATCTAGCTGTATGCATAATGTATTATAATACATGGGATTAAAATACAACTAATGTGTGTTTACGTACCGTGTAGGCCTACTGATAATTAAAGCAAGGTATGTAGATCAGCATTAGTCTCAATATTTCGACTGCAAGACCGACCGATTTTATAATCTGATTTTTCATAGATGTCTGTTTTTAAAAGAAGGACGACCATCATCTATATAATAAAAAGCCCTAAAGCGCACAAATAATTTGTTAGGCTTATATTTATACATGACCAGTCAAAACTTTACTGGCCTACTAGCTAGTACTATATACGACTGGTAGTGTCCTTAATGTAATGACAATAAATACATGTGGTACATCGTTTTAAAAAGGTTTGAAATTGGGAACATACAAGGTTATCTATTACCAAGGCTTTAATTTAATAAATATCATATGAAATTAAAGCCGTGCTATTGCTTACTGTACAGTTTAATTTAATATCTTAACATTTGAAGACGTCCTTAATGTTATCAATGCTTATTTATGTTATCTTACACACTGCATTATGTCTAAGATGGTAGATCTATATGTATAACCTCAGTACGGGATGGGTTATATATATATAAAAATTGTAATGAAAACAATTCAAATACTGTTTTTATTAAAAGTAATTTTTGCCTGTTGCTCGTGTATGCAGTCCTTTCAACAGTGCATAGTAAATGAATGTTTAAGTGTTTCAGTGCTGAAAC